TCCCACTAATCACATTTTTTCTTATATTTCAATGGCATACCGGAGTTTGTGAGGAAACGTTCGATGTTAACAGTATGATAGCTCAATCAACTCAAAATATTTTAAATTTCATTGTCAGAAAGATGAATCTATAAGAAATGGCATACTTCGGCGATTATCCGGGAGATTTCAGACTTTAATCTGGAGACCGCGATAAACGGTTCAAAATCTGGAGTCTCCCGGATTATCCGGGAGAGTTGACTGCCCTGGTACTGTACATCTTGTAGGGGGAACAGATACGTCGTATTCTCAGGGCAAAGCTGAATGGAAAAGCTCGTTTAGAGTGTAAGGGGGGACATGATGAGCGGAAAAAGTACTGATGTTCAGATGTAGGTTTAGTGAAAGAACAATTTCAACGATCCCAGTTGATCCCTTACGATCATTGATGGACACCTTAAGGTAGAGAAAGGAGAAAGATTTGAATAAGTAGTTTGATACAAATTTAACAGTGGGATGAAGGGTATTTTGGTAAGAGATAGAAAAATACATTTATAGTGAGAATGAATTTGAGGAGGTTGCAAAGATCGGGGTCGGCCAGGGTTTTGGGGTATACGGTATACAGGGGCTTTTTAAATCGGGTATACGGTATATTGCAGCTTAAATACGGGTATTCGGTATATCACTTTCTTTGAATTTCAGGTATAAAGTATACCTGGGTGTAATTTTGGGTATTTTTGGGTATTTTGGCGAATTTTTTTCGGGTACACTGGTATACCACTACCCCCCCTGGCCGACCCTGAAAGATTCCGTGTGTATGGTGTGGACTAGTAGGGGTCACTAGAAGAGGGAGACTATATGTTGCCTACCATGAGCTACTGCAGAGAAATGGTCAGCGGTTTGTTTCCGAGTGTCCCGAGGTGTCAACAAAACGTTAGTCGCGGTGGAACTCTTTCGTGAAGAAATGGTGAAAGAATTGTTGGAAATTGCATCGAAGGGTGATGTTGAAAGGTTAAGGGAACTATTTGAAGATCCAGAAAGTTTGTATTCCACGGATCCATCGCAGGCGTTGAACAAAAGAGATGCAGAAGGTAAATCCGCGCTGGATATTGCTGCCATGTTGGGTCGGAAAGAAATGGTTCGAGAGCTTCTAGAACGTGGAGCAGACATTAATAGCCAAACCAAGAGAGGTACGTGACAAACTTAGTTCTTACGAAGAAAGCATTTAATTAATGGTTCGATGTTTTAAATGTGTAATTGCAGCTGTCTGATATTATGGGGTAATACGCGGTCATGTTGAAACGTAGACCATGCAGACTGTAGACTGTAGACTATGCAGACCGTGCAGACTGTGCAGACTGAGTGTTGTTTTTTTACTTTTACCTTAATTTTCTAGTAAAATTTCTACTATAGTTTCCTGCTTCCTCTCATTATGTGCAATGTGCATCACCATCATATGTGCACTGATGTGTACCTGCAAGGGTCATGGGTCTGGGTAGGAAATGAGAAAATCACAGGCTCATGTTTACCGGCAGATGTAAAAGCAGTTTCGCGTGCTTTTAGCTGCTTTCACGTAGGAGCAAGCACGATGGAGGAAGGTAAGCTGTTTCTTTCTGTAACTGTATTATATTGCCACGATTATTTATTTTTTTAGTAGAAGAAGCTTTTTCAGCTTAAGTGACTAAAACCCTTATCGGCTTGCTACAACGGCTACGAGAGAGACATTTCCTCAATTTCCTTGATTATTGATGATCCTCTATGGTTTCACTCTGTAATTAAAACTGGTGCTGCCGTCATTTCTTCAAATCTTACAGATACCGATGTCAAGGCCCATCTCTCAAACCGAGACGTTTGAGAGATGGGCCTTGCTTGTAAATAAGTCAACGGTATATCTATCTTAAAATAAATATTCTGATTTCCACGTGTTTGGCGGTTCCGTAAGCATCAGAATTAAGAGAAGAAGGGCAGCGACTTGCAACTTCTCACAGATAATATTCAATGAAATTAAGACAAAATATACCTAAAATACACGGCGGGGGATCTAGTTCAATGCGCATTAAAACCCCCTCCACATCTTCAAGTTGTACAAATAATACATTTGCTGCCTAAACAAAAACCATGATACTCGAACAAGATTGTCGGTTTCAAACCACTACCACTTATTGGCGTGAATGCATGGAGCAAATATAATTGTCGCTCCCCGAGTGAAAACCCACCCAGAAGGACACTCTTGATCGAATCGAATAAAAAAAATACATAAACAAGTCTTACGCGAATCTTCCGAGCTAACAACGATGACATCGGTATATGTAAGATTTGAAGGAATGACGGCAAGTCACCAGTTTGAATTACAGCGTGAAACCAAAGACGATCATCAACAATCAAGAAAATTGAGGAAATGTCTCTCTTGTAGTCGTTGTAGGAAGCCGAGAAGGGTTTTATTTCAGGTCACTTAACCTGAAAAAGCTTCTTCTACTAAAAAAATTTAAATAATTGTGGCAACATAATACAGTTAAAGAAAGAAACAGCTTACCTTCCTCCACCGTGCTCACTCCTTCGAGAAACTATAGTGAAAATTTTACTAGAAAATTAAGGTACAAGTAAAAAAAATAACACTCAGTCTGCACAGTCTGCACAGTCTGCACGGTCTGCACAGTCTGCAGTCTGCATGGTCTGCGTTTCAACATGACCGACCCAAGCAAGTGGCGAAGCCGTGAGGGGCAGAGGAAAAGAGAGCTTGCAACGATCTCTCATAAAATTTCATTTGTACTTCGCCCAGACGAAGGGAAATACCATTGGCTGAGAAATGATGTTCCGAAAAACAAAGTTGATTGATAAGAGGCCAAGCTGGCACCCCCTTCGCCTGTGTGACAAGTTTGGTTCTCAGGGGGATCACGAGAACTTGTTTCAGCCCTCAAAGCAGACGAGGGGGCTCATTTGATTTAGTTCTTGCAAAGAGAATATTGCCAGGCGAGGATAAGTCGGACCGATTTTATAGTTCGTTAGTAATTCGTTTGTGTCAAGCGCCTTGTTTAATTGAAAACGAGAAGAGTGAAAGTAAAGAGAGGTTCAAGCGCCCGGTTCAAGTTCTTCCTCCTTATGTTGGTTTCTTTGCACGATTGAATTCCACTGGGTAGAAAAATTCAGAAACATGTACTTGACAGTGTAGCTGTGTAGCTTAACTGTAAAGAAGGACCGTGAAGAGAAAGAGTTGCCGCGTAGTAACTGGAGTACAACTTGAGAGAACTAATTCCAGGAATATGCTATTCTCCAGTTCCGGAACGGACAAATATATACCGGCGGTAATGTTTTTGTTGGTAATTGCGACAACTTTTCAAAAGTAAATGAAACGAGAATCAAAGTATTTAGTTTTCATCCAAGCAGACACGTTGAAGTTCGATGTCCCCATGGAAAAAAAAAGCGTATCAGTGATTAATAACAATGCTTTAGATGCTGTTGCGAGAACGATTTATAAATAGATAATTCTACGCACCCTTGGCTGTCTAAACTTGACAGGAGTTTGTCACTTTTCTAATCGGCGGGACGTTTGGAAATGAAAATTTATGAGCGATCGTTGCAAGCTCTCCTTTCCTTAATGAGTAAAGCATATACCCGTTTTCACCCAATACGGCGCCAAAACCCTACCCTACCCTAAGTGAAAAGTAACACAGATAAAATCGAACAACATTTCAGTGTTGTACATGTTGTGACACCGTTTTCAAGTTCAAAAAGTATCTGGTAGATAAAATGTCCGAAAAAGTTGTCTCATATTTTCTAAAGCATGTTGAGATTAACATTATAAATTGTGATCTAGAAGCTTTTCACTATTAATTATTATTATTCTCTTTATTAATAATAATAATAATAATAACAATAATAATAATAATAATAATATTATTATTATTATTACTATTATCAACAATTCTCTATCATTATCACAACTGTACTTCACTGTGATGATTAACAAAACATTAATAGAGGATATTACTTGGCTGCACAGAGATGTCAAAAATTATTTCTATTCCTGATCTGACACCTGGTATTTCATTTGTGTTTATACAATAAGAATCTCTTTTTAAAGTTTGAAACCAAAAAAAACCCAGCCCATTTCCTCTTAGTCAAGACTGTTATTCCCAAACTGGGTGACATATATTCTGTTTTTTTTTAATAAGAAACAACCAAATGACCTAACTAAAATACAAGGTTATTTTTCGTCAGAAACGACATGTTGTACAGATAGAAGTTGGCGTCTTTCAGTTTAAAGGGGATCAACGAAAACAGCTAATTATACCTGAATATGCTTCAAGGAAGTTCATCACTAAATTGAAGCTTCTGCAGGGGTGGTGGGGGTGGTGGTTTATTGTACCTTGTGGCTCACTGATTTAATCTACAGCATCCTGATAAAGTCATGATATCTTAATAACAGGTTACACAGCTTTGCATAGAGCAGCAGTGTGGGGGCACCCAGACTGTCTGAAAGTGTTAATAACAAATGGTGCAGATTTGCAAATCTGTAATGTACATGGTGAGAGAGCAAGAGAGGCAGCTGCGAGGTATCAAAAAGACAGCTGTGTTGATTATCTGGACCGTGCAGGTAGTACACTTTCTTATTACTGTTAATCTTGAGATTGCTGAGTTTGTCAACCTGGTTCCCAGGGTTCTCTCCTATGTCCCTACAGAGCAAGCAAGAGAGAGAGACCCTGGTTGGGTCTGGTCATGTGTCTCCAGAACAAAATTAATTCTGAGGGAGGAGTCCTTTGTCTCTCTGTTTTACGTCTGGCTCGTTTTCACCGTTCATACAATCATCGTAAGAGCAAGATAGATTTGCTAACCCTACAACTGTAACTGAAACCATGGGATATTTCTGCCCAAACAGAACTGCCACTAGATAAACAATCGAATTTTTTACCAGGGAAGAAAGCAAAACCTCGCGTTGTCGCGGTTTAACGGGCGACATCAATCACTAAAATCTGTTATCTTGATTTCTACACAAGCGTGTAGATGTTTATATTGAAGGGAAAATCCCTGTATGTTAAACTTGCTTTGAAAGTATCAATGTTCGCCTGACAGTGGCTGGTGGTAATGGGCCGAATCAGTATACTGCAAAACCTACACCATTAGTGGTCTTAGTGGTTCAGTGTGACAAAAAATAGCGGGGAATTTATATTACACTTACTGAATGGTCAAAATAATATTTGAGATCTAGTGACTTTACGGAAAGCTATAATCTGAAATGAAATGTCAGCTTTCTCTACCCCCTATCCTTTGTTATGATGAGCAATAGAAAAATGGATCGCTTTTGGTGGTAAATAGAGATATATAGTGCGTACCTACAAATGCAGAGAATGACCACAACGTGACAGATGACAACAGGAAATCTTGCAGTATAAACAGAGACAAAACAGACAACCTAACCCTCCAAGCGAAAGGCTTTCTAGTAAATGGTCCAGTGATTTCTTAAAACCCTCTAAAGCATACCTAACCCTCAAGAAAATTAACAAAAGGAACAATAAACGGTTGGTGGTCGTACAAGCCATATTTTTATTTTTTAACAAAGATGCGTACAGCCGATGATCCTATTGATTTTAAACGATGACAAGGAAACTGAAAGACACAAAGCTGTAGATAGAAAATACTCTTTCAAGATTTTGTTTACCTCTTTTCATTTGAACAATCAAACTGCGTCTGGGCAGCGTATTCTCTCTTCCTATTTAATTCATTTCTAAGGTCGGTGAGGATGACGACACTTGATACATCTTTTCATCACATTTTGGAAGTGCTTGATCGTAGCCTTGAAAACACATGCATTTGTTTTCTAATGTGGCCTGCACAACATAGAAATGACAATTCAAATCCAGTCCGTTTCGGTATGAATACCACTGCCTAAATCATTTTTGATTGCACAAGCGGTGAATATGCGATTTCCTCTACATGTACCATGAAGAGGAAAGCATTCCCGATAGATTAACATCCAGATATTCTGCAGTTTGTTACGCTTTCATTGTCAAATGATTTTGTGAATTATTTTTGGCGTTCAAGGTTTTGTCTTGACTAGTCTGGGAACTATGAAAAACATGACAAGGTAAGGTACACAGTCTCATGGCTGTACTTTGACTGACCCGTCTATGCTATGTGGAGACAAATCTCACACTTACAGTACCTGTCCTCCCCCAAATTGTGTGTTTGTAATCTCCCAGATTCTGGGAGACACGTGACCAGACCTAACCAGGGTCTCTCGACGGGTAGGAGAGAGAACCTGGGAATGAGGTTGCTAAGTTTGTGTGGTTATTAGGTCACACCAGAGACCAGGCAGCATCCCGGCTAGGTAAAGTTATTCCCTTGCCTATTCACTCCTTGTCAAAACACAAGAATGTAAAGCATAATAACTTACCACAGGGCTCATGCCCTCATTATGCTTAAACCATTCACAATAGAAATTCCAGTAACCACCCATCCTCAGAGACCCAGGACCAGAGAGATAGTATTTTGAAATGAGGAGTTTATATCAAACTGAAAGTTTCCTGACTGACATTTCTTTGGTGGATGAACCAGACAACTATGGCAAGACAATAGCCATTGTGTACAAACATACAAAAATTAAAGAACTCAAGAGATGCTGTTCGCCTATTGGGCACAATAATACAAAGCATTCTTTGTGCCCAATCAGGAGCCAGCATTCGCTTGACCATTTCGAAATGTTCCGTTCAGATCCTTTACCCAGGCGCTCTTTCTCCCATGCTTGAAAACCTTCTACGCGCCTTTTCTCCCCGCCCAACTGACTCCCCCCGCGTCTCCGAGGATGGTAGCCACCCAACTGGATATACAATATGTCCATTAGCGTGCCAGTTGTTATGTCATCAGTTTTAATAATAACAGAACGACACCTTGATTTTCGTTCCTTTTTGAAAGTGCTTCAAAGTTACTGAATGTTTGCATGTCTTTTTTGTTTTAGTAGACAAACATGTCACTGAACTTTGTTTCCCTATTGTTTGCTTAGTTTTAAAAAAATAGTGTATGCAAAAAATGTCCACTTTGCTAGCGGCATTCTTTGCAATTTTTTTTCATGCATCAGAAACAAAAGAAACCTTCAACTTGTGTTTTGTGTGGTGGGAAGAGATTCTTCAATCTGTGGCCATAATGAAAACGATTTTGTCAAACAGGTTAGAGGAAAATGAGAAGACCATATAAAGTTGACCCAAAAGTTTCAATGAAAGCCTTTTTTGAAACCAACCAATACTACATATATTTAGTCTAGTGTTTGCAGAATAGTAGTGATAGTATTTTATTACTCTAATTTTGCTTTTTCTAGAAGCACAGCAAGCCCTGTTATCTGTCATAACCTCCATGAAGGACACCATATCTGATCCAGAGAAGCATATGGGCCGATTTACTCGAGAGGACAAGGTTTGTGTTATCGGCAGTTAGATTTTCTTTTGTCTTCCCAATTTTTTTGCGCACCAGGTGGGTAGAAGGAGCTGTGGACAAGATTGTCATGCTCCAAAAAACTATAAGCTCCCCCTATCCAACTGAAGGAGTTCTGTCAGAGGGTTGTCCAATCCTAGAAAGGGGGTACTCCCTGTAATAGCCTATATAGGGAGACCTTTCCCAAAAGGGGTAACTTTTTTAAACTTCAGGTATATAAAAGGGTAGGGGAATATGTCTTTTTGGTTTGTACATAGAGTTTCGTAAGGTTTTGCAAGACATTTTTTTGTAAAATCTTGTGTCCTTTTTTCTTGACAGTTGAGTGGAAATAGATTCTGTGATGAAAAGAATGACTGGTTGGAATCGCATAAAGAGAATGCCACAGTTGAAGAGATCAACAAACAAAAACGTGAACTTGAGGAGCTGTTAAAACCTATTTTGAGCAAACTAGATGATTCAGGTAACTTTTTCCTAATAAAAGTAAAATTTTCAAAGCTTTTTTATGACTTAAAACATAGTAAGTTGTTGGAATGGATAAAACGAAGAAAAGTAGAAAAGAAAAAATTAATGTTTAAATAATTAAAGGAAGATACATTTTCCTTTTTTTCTGTCATTGTTAATTTTCTGTCGATTTATTCTTGCGCTAGTTACGATTACACAGATACATCTCTAGACCTTCATGAGCGAACATGTATTCAAATTTGGGGAATAATGAAGCTGTGCAAAGTGATTTGTCAACTGATCAATGAAGTGGATTCTCAAGTAGCTATTATATAGAGACCCTTTGTAAACCAAAGTTGTTAATCAAATCAAACATAGGGGTAGATTTCACTAAAGAACGTTTAATATAGCGTTTTTTTTAAATAGTCAGAACTCGTGGACTATAAAATACCATGGAAGAATAACTTCGTGCATTCAATTATATAAAAAAGCTAATCCGATTTCTTGTAAATGATATAAATTACCTCAGGTGCAATTGTATCCAAGGCAACTGGCCATTCTCGGCGTTAACCGGCCGGTTCACTGGCCCGGAGGTTTGTACGAAATCTTTTCAAAATAATTTTCACTTGGGCACTGGTAAAAAGTTCTGTGACTGCACGTTGCAATATTTAGTCACTTAAGTGTTTAAGTTAATGCTACAAATCGTTTTTATGTTGGTGTTATTGCACTATAAGAAAGTTTTGTAGGACTTGTTAGCCTTTTAAATAAAACTTAAGCACAGTGGTAATTAAGGGGCTGTTTACGTGGAAGGAGGAAGATCCTTAATAGAAAACAGATCATCCTAGCGTCATATGTTTTCTGTATTCGGTTTATATGCAAAAGGTTGTAGTTGTCGCCAGCGCTGGGATCTTGCTACTGTGGTTCGAGGATCTTCTTAACTGAGAGGTAGGAAGATCTTAGTACTAGGGACAAACCAGACAAAAATGGCAGTGAGTCGTTCCGTGGCTAATCACGGCAATAAAGGCCGACCTATCGTTTGGCGATACTACGAGGTGATTATTGTGATAATTCTGCTGAAAGGTGGTTGTAAACGTCAGTAAAGAGAGCAGAAGGGTCCAAATTGCCTTTTTGTTTTTTGCCGCCCGCCATTTTTAATTCGTTCTCGATCCTACTCTACTTGGGCACCACAGGGACCAAAAATTCTGCATGTAAAACCAACGAAAAGTTGTTCTGCCATCTTGGATCTTTCTGGTACGAGGATGTTCCTCCCTCCATGTTTACAGCCCCTTAGACTGAAGTCCGATTCTGTCCAACTTTCATATGAGTAAAGTCTACTTCTGTTTTTCGTCAGACAAATTATAAAGAAAAGATTGGATGAGTTCGATTTGTTTTTAGGAAAATTAAACTGAGTGAATCAAGTTCCAGTTGAACTCGCCCTGTATAAAGAACTTAACTAGAACTTGATTATAGTTTTATACATGTAGTAAATCAACTTGCTCTTCAATTTGTTTGTTTGTTTTGAAAACAGATGAGGATTTTTTCGGCAAGGAACCCAAGACTGGAAAAAGATGAGAGTTTCATTCAACTACGCGGGCACTCGAATCATGGTTGTTTTGTTGACAAGTGCCTTCCCTTGGAAAAAGAATTGCATGTTGTAAGCAGTTATCGTAGAGGGTCCCGAACAGGGCTCGGTCTTCAGTCGCGTCATTCTGACCAAATCTTCGCCCAATCCTGTAATTCCGACCGTTTCTGTCGGCCAATCGCGACCCGGAAAATAAGTTTTAGTTCCCGTTTCCCGAAAAACCTCCGCGTTGGAGACCCTCATCGTAGTGCACCGGAACGGCGCGAGAAATGTCAATCTAGAGATTGTAATCACAGGACCACCGCACATGAATTTGTTTCTGTGCAAGTGTTTGTTCATGGGTCTTTTTAGGTGTTTAGGCGAGAGAGGGATAAACTGAAATACCATCACAGCTCATGCACGACGTGATGAACCAATCAGGGCTCACAACAACGTGAATGCAAAGCGCGGAAAAGTCAATAGGTAGTTTAAGATAACATGACGGCGTCAGCAGCGAAAACGTCACTTAAAAAGTGACTTCGCGTTCTTTGAAACTTCAGCGCGATTATCCCAACTCGCTCACTTTTTCCAATGTAGGCAAACTTTCCTGGAGTTGAATTGTAAAGAAAGATATTCAAATTTAAAGAGAGAAAAATGAGTTAGTCGTCGTATGTTGGTCTATTTTCACGTTGTGGATAAAACGTGAAATTAGGTAATTCACGTCGTAGCCGTGTAGTGGCCTGACGGCGAATAGAAATGTACAAAATAGCGTGCAAAGTTGTTTTGCTAACCTAAACGTATTTCTTTTAAACTTTCTTGTTGTCGTCGCCGAAGGCATTTTCACATCGTAGTAGCTGAATCTGTATACATAGCTTTTAGTGATGTATTGTATTTTTTTTCCTTATATTACATTGATGGAAATATTTATTTATTTTTTTGATAATGCCTGATGTTTGTAACCGTGTATAAATGAAGATGATGATGATGATAATGATGATGTAATGACGGCAAGGAATATGAAAACAGTCGTGCTGCACGTGCAAAGTTATTGATTTTCCTGTTCATCCTATTACATTTGTAACCTCGTCAGTGCCGTTACCTGCCCTGGCATCTCGAACTTCCTACTGTCATGGGCGAAGGGGTCATTGCCAACGTCACTGAGAGGGTCGGCATCGGGTAAATACAGTCGGTTGTCAGTAAAACGCGGGGTCGGAGCCGGGGTCTATATATTTTTCAAAAGAATGCTGTATTAGGGCCTGTTTACATGGAGGTGGGGGACCGCAACTAGGTGAGGTAACTCGCTTAGGTGGGGTAACCCGCCTGTCCATATAATCTCTCATTTTAATAAGATCACGTTTACATGATAGGTGGGGTGACCCGCCAAGGCGGGTAGCCCGGTATACCAGACCGGGTTACCCTCTCAGCCGGAGTTCAAATTTTGCTATGCAAACGTTTCAAGGTGGGGTAGCCCGCCTAGCTGGGGTCGATTCGTGATACATCAAATTCGCGCAAAATTCACTTTGGCGGTGGCTTTGCACCATTATTAAAGTGAACAATAGAAAGCCACCACACTGAAGGTTGCAGCAAGAGCATTAATCGCCAAAACACGTGGTTTGCCAGCATTTTTCTTGTTTACGTGCTTAGCGACCATTCAATAATCTTGAGAAAGTGCACCCCGGGATGGCGGGGTTGTAAGATTGCATGTAAAGGAGGGTTAATTTTTTACCCCACCTAAGCAGGTTACCTTACCTACCTGAGGTCCCCACCTCCATGTAAACGGGCCCTTAGTGGAGGCCTGTGCTGCCGAGCAGTTAACACCTCGAACTCTGGACCTGGAGGTCCGGGTAAAGCTACGCCCGTCACGTTGTTTCCTAAGACAAGGAACTTTACTCCACTTTCTTTCTCTTCACCCAGGTATATAAATGGGTACCGACGACATACTCCTGGGGGGTAACCCTGCGATGGGCTAGCATCCCGTCCAGGGGGAGTAGCAATACTCCTACGTGCTTCATGCTAAGAAAACTGGGATAAGCTCCGGCCGTTTGGACCTTTGGTTCCTTTACCTTTTATAACATTGAGTTAGCCGAATAGGTCTATGCAGATATTGAAAATGGCAGGAAATGGAGCTTATATAAATGCGTTACGGTTCAGTGATTTTAAGACTCATGTGACATCATGACCAAATTAAGATGTGACGCACATAAATTTAAAATCAAATGTGACTTAATCGATCTTAGACCTCTATAACCGGTTAAACCACCTAAAAAAACATATGGCGTTATCTTGATATTCTTCCGCATTTCATTCGTTAGATAAAGACAAAAGGCTATGGCGTCATCGGCGTTAATTTACTCATCCGCAAAGTATTAAACGGGATTTCTCCGCAGAAAGGGTTTAATTCGGAGCGCTCTACACTACTGCTGTAACTGGGGATAATGAGAATAGAAACTCGCAAGTGGGGAAATGTGTAATCCAGCATAACTATTTAATCAATATCTTATCTGAGTAACAACTGAAACCATTTTTTTTAAATGTCATTTATTACCAGACATCACGTCCGTTACTATTCTTCGCAATGTTAAAATGTGTCACGAGCTTTTCGGCTCTTTTATTTAAACTTATAATCAAATTTCTTCTTCCAAGTTCACGTCAAAGCAAACTGTTCATGTCAATTTACACGTAACAATGATGACAAATTACTGAAACAAACCACAGTTTTTAGAAACACCGTGAATAAATGTGATATAAGATATACGTTAAAGTTCCCTAAATGTTGGGAGGGTTTAACAATGCAAGCTGAAATATTAGGGCCATTTATACGAGGAAAAATAAAACGCGTCTTACATAGGACGCGTCTTAAATAAGACGCGAACTTTTCGTATAAACGGCACATTTCGTCTAAAATAAGACGCGGCTTAGCTAAGACGCGGCTTATTTTAGAACAGACCTTAACACCTGTTCTTAGATAAGACGCGTCTTAGCTAAGACGAGAAAAACTTCGTGTAAATGACCTTCGCGTCTTACATAAGACGCGAACGCATAGTACGCATGCGTTAATTTTTGGCGCGCCACCTTGGATTGCCGTTGCTACGGGCAACATTCACATGAAAAGGAGTCAAGAACAGAAATAAGACGCGAACCATTTATACGAGCTGTTGTCGTCTTAGATAAGACATGCTCGTATAAATGGTACAGTTCGCGTCTTATCTAAGACGCGTCTTATGTAAGACGCGTCTTATTTTTCCTCGTATAAATGGCCCTAATATCTCAAATAAAGCAAGACACGGTCTTCAAAATAAAGACGTTCTTGTGCTTTAAATAAATCTAGAAATAATCTAATGATCCTCAGCTCTGTCGTAAAAACGCCTTGCCGTAAAGAAATATTTCTTGAAGTTAATAATGAATGGCCCAATGAAAAATGGAATTTTCCAGATGGAAACCTGTGTTCTGTTAATCAAAGTTCGCGCTTAAGTTAAACGTTATTGATAATTTATATGTTAAATGTGATAACAAACTAATACAAGCCTCATATCAAGCTTAAGAAACTTTGACAATATATTTGCTAAGAACCCGGTGATTACGTGGTCTTTTAACAAAGAAAATGTCAAAAGAATTCGTCTCCTCAACATTTCTCTTGTTTGTGAAGCTTTCTGCGTGGAGACAACGATACCGTGGTCATTATATAAGACTTCGGTGTAACTTGACGAAAAATGCTCCTCTCGGCTAGGGTGTCTTCTAGTCATCTGTGCCAAACACTACAAAAGGCATGGACTGAAAAGGTAGTCTACAGGGCCCACTAGATTCCCAGCACCGGACGCCGGTGCAAATAAAAGCATTCTTGTCTTTCTTACATTCGCAAGGCGGCTAATGGCCTAGAACTAGCAAAACCAGTGAATTTGCCGTTGAGTTGGGGTGTTGTAAGCCCTTGCGTGATAAGGTCCTCAACATCATGTTGCGAGGGAAAGTGAAGTTATCAGCAGCTTTTCTTGCCAGATTGATCAGCTGTGTTTATCAAGTATCCTTCTGTTGGTGTTTTTTCTGCTCTTGTAGCAGTTGCTGCAGAGGTGACATACCCTCGGATGGAGATGCCGCGAAGTCTGATCCCCAGATGGACTGCAACCCAAAACCAAATACCGTCATTAACTATTTTGAAATAAGCCAGGGACACATTAATAAAGAACAAATGAATAATTCAACTTGGCTTCGATCTGCATGCATTCACATTGGCGGAACTGAGTCCACTTTGATTACGACCACGTTAACAACTCCGCAATTGAACCATGAATGGCACAGTTTGGTCATTTTTCTGCGAAAGTCTACTCTATTCTAGACCCAAATTCAGCAGTATATTTACCCTGTCCCAAACTGAACTGCTTAATGTGGATCACATAGCTGTGTTCAGATGGCTACCTGAGCGGGCAAGATTGGCCCATATTACCCGTACGAGGAGAAAAAGGCAAAAACGGAGTGAAACAGCAAAAATAAAGATGGACGCGCGAAGCGAGTCGAGCGGTGGACTGGGGAGGGGGAACCGCCCTTTTCCCTCCCCAGACTTCCTCTCCGCTCGCGTCGCTCGCCAATTTGTTTTTTCCCTCTCTGTGAACCTGGTCCCAGGCTAGGATTTCCCGCGTTGGTCCGACAAAAACAAGTTCTCTTTTTGCTGACTCGTCCTCAGTCGTCTCTCATTACTAGTATTTGGCGTGGAAGACTAGAACGGGCTCTTTCTTCCCAGCGCGCATAACCCAAGCGCTTCCTTAGTAAATAATTAATGAGTAGAAACAACTTGGAGATGACTGGGGATTAGTTAGCTCTTTTTCGCCATCTAATCAATCCTTCATTAACCAGCTTGTTCGGTCAAGATGGCTTTGATCTCGACTTCGTCTCGGACCATAAAAGAGCAAAAAAGAACGTGGCCAATATCAAGCTATCTTGACTTCGGGCGTGATCATAAACGCATAAATGTGAGAGTGCAGTCATCCCCCTCCCTTGGAGAATAACTCTCTTGAAGCAAGTAGAGATCCACGGAAAGTTTAGAGAAGTAAAAATACGGATAGAATTCCCCTTTCCAGAAACTATGAGGGAAAAAGGTACCAGCTTTCGGCGCAATGATTTCTGGGATCGTCTGGGAGGACAAGCGTTATTACGATAGTTTAACGGTTGCCTTGACTACCATCAACTAATCATAACCAATGCTTAGCCACCCAAACGAACCCAGAAATCGTTGCGCTGAAAGCTTGTTCCCATTCCCTTGTTACCTGTAGACCGTGATTCCCAGCAGGACTTGTTCCTCCACTACCGCTTGGAGTTGACGAATTGGGAGCCCAGACCCCTGAACCACCCCAACCACCATTGAACCCAAAGCCACCAAATGGAGACTGGGACGGAGAATGATAGTTGGGCTGCATTCCAGCTGCGGGGAAACTGGTTCCAAAGCTGGTGGGTCTGCGGTTCTCCACAGTTGGGGAGGGTAGGGTAGGTGGAAACACAGAGCTACTTCCTGGACTCGCCAAATGATCGGTGGGGGTCGCACGGTGATTTGGTGGCTTACCAACGGGTCTTGCCGATGAATTTTCTAAATATTATAGGGAAAAAAGATTAATTTTACCATCTTGGCAAAATCTTACGATTCTTGCCATCTAAAACACGAAAAATAATAACTGTCTGTTCGTGTTGCTTATAGAGCTTATATTTAGGAGGCTCGAAAAGATAATTGGCGCGAATTACGCACGTTACTTCTGGACGAACTCATAACGGCAATAAAGTGTTTCACCCTTAGCTAGCTTACCGCTTCCTAATTGCTTTCATTTATCTCTCAAAGGACAGTTTGTACATGTAAGACAACTACTTTGTAAGTGCCTAAGTTAACTGAGATCGCTTAGAAGATTAGACCAAAGAACGACAATCTGTCCAGAGATGATACTGTGCTATTAGCAAGCAAAGTGAAGGCCGTAGGTCATTTTCCAGTTGCCTTAAGCCTGATGGACATCTGCCTCAAGCCTCTGCTCTAAAGCGAGGCTAAATGCGAAGCCATTGATATGAATCTCATGCAAATAAAACTCATTTCTGCACTAAGCCTCGTTTTGCAAGTGAGAGTTCTTAGAACTCGGAAATGGCCTATTAAAGAGGAAGTCTCACACGGCAGTATTGGAATCGGGAGTATAACCCGGTTTCCTCTGCATAAAATCCTTGGGGTACCGCTAGCAACCCCTTCCCCCTGCCCTGATGCTCTGTCAGGCATGCGACACCGCGAAAAAATTTATCCCTAATGAAGGAGTCATTCCCAGCCACTTCGCCTCGAATCTCCGCATAAGTAACTCCTAGGAAGGTGAAGTGTACCTGGATTGGCAAGAGCTGCAGAAGTCAAGGAAACATTCCATCCTGATTGGAACAATGAATACTGAGCTACAGTGGAGGGGGAGGGTGGAACTTGTCCTACTTGGGTATGACCAACATCTAAGGGACCCTTGAACAAGGAGCTGTGTATCACAAAAACGCCATGTTAATACAAACAATTTTCAAGGGCGGGCTGGTAGCATTGTTACGCTTTCTTATTAGATAAGAAAATGTCACGTGGCCTACTTGCTCAACCAATCAGCGGTAAAACCGCCTCTCGCCGCTAACTTAAATTTTACGTAAAATCTGTTTGTTTTACTGGATGGTGCACCTCTTGGAAAGCCGCCTTCAACAGAGAAACGTAGGGGTTCGACTTCAAAAATTCAACATATTTGCTGATAAAAAAATTTATGAAACATGCATACATTCAGTAAATCAAATTTAAAAAAGAAAACTACAGGAAAAAAATATGAACTACTAACATGATCCCTGCAGGTTGCAAAAGAACTGAGAAATCTCAAGCTTGACCGATTTTGAGCTGGCAATGACGAAGAAGAAGGCCATTTGCACTTTCAGCGAATGATGCATAACTTAAGTTACGCGGCACTTACCTAGTTTCAGCAAATGGGGTTCCCACTGGTGTAGCCTGCAAAAAAAATTGATGAGACTTTTTACATTGTAGAGGGATAATTTCACAATCCGTGAATGTGAAAAAAGGAGGTTTGTAACAAAACAAGGTCACCTTCAGCCTCGCTTCTATTCAAAGGCTAGGGTACTGAGCAAAAACTTTAAAATGGCTTATCTGCAAACGAGACAATAGATGAATGACACAAGAGTGTCCCAAGCCCTAAAAACTACTAGCAGGCGTGTTTTGAAAGGCCAATAGTTAGAGGTTCCATAGCCTGGGACCAGACTCCACAGATGGGGAGAAAAGCGAAAAAAAATCGGCGAGCGAAGGGAGCCGAGCGGTGATTTGGGAAGGGGAAAGAGTGGCTCGCCGAATTTTCATGCCTGTTCAGTCCGTTTTTTGCCATGTTTTCCCCACAGCGAAGCCTGGTCCCAGGCTAGAGGTTCTGAGACCTTGCCCAGGATTCCTGACTGATAGAAATGTAACCCTCTATTATTTTCAGTTTGAAGAAAATGTTTCTGTTCCGTAACTGAAGTGCTCGGCCCCACAAGCTTTTCTGCGATAAAACTAACCCAGGATAAGCAAGTCCGGCGGACTTGCTCACCCTGGGTTGGAAAGGAACACAAACACACCCCCGCTGGCTTTACCTTATTCAGAGTAGGTAAAGAAGCCAGTAACTTTTGTCCCGCAGATTCTAAATCGATGTCTTGAGGTGACTTGGGAAACTTCTCCTCCTGAGATGAGACCTACGGAGAAAAAAAAGCATAAAATTCGCAATGCACTTTTTGAAAACGGTAGCATGACACCCTAACAGGTTCTGTGGTTGGTGATTCAAACAACTGTAAAAAAAGAAATGACAGCGTGGAAAGGTCACTGCATTATACTGTAGCCATGAAAACCAAACAAACAAAGCAGAACAAGAACAAACTATGATATCATACCATATAGGAGAACGAAAGAAATGAACTCAAGTGATCGTTGCTAGGAAGTCAGAATGTCCAAAAATGGCCTGGGTTTTCGACAGGGTTTTCGTTCAAATCCCGTTCACGCCTTGAAAAACGTTATTTCTTTGGTAACTAACATTACTGCGAAAATAATTACTATACACTTATTTTTTTAACCTTGAGAAGAAAAGATGCGAGATAACGGGTAACGAAATTACGAAATTACCTCTTCAATGGGCGAGGAAGTGTTTATCTTCAAAGAAAAGTTTGACAGACCAGTTGCAAGATCTTCCACTTTAGCCAAGATACTGAAAATGAAAACGACAATTTAGTCACAAGGATGGTATCCAGTTCGTGGAACCGCAGCAAGGTCACTGAGTTCAGTAGCTTGGAACAACGAATACAGAGTACGAGCAGGCAGTCTCACTTGTGTCAGTTCAGGAGGGAAGAAGAAGAATGGGACCCCATTCTTCTCGCGCGCTGATGAGGAAGGCACCGCCTTTGCATTTGAAACGGCTAGAGTTTCGAGTGGCTGGGCTGGCCTTGCAGAATAGCGGTCCTGTCTCCAAAAGAGGAAGTAAAAACTTTGTCTTTAATTACTATTTCAGCCGCCCCCCACAAAAAAGAAATAACAATAACAATATAATCGTTCACGTAGTCTGCAGGAGAATTATCGTCTTCTTCGCGTGCTTCAGGAGCTCGCAAGCGCGCAGCTCGAATTCCTCGAAAGGAATAAGAAGGGAAAACATCTGGAGGACAGACTACCGTTTATCCTTCAGACGTTTTATTCGGCTTGCCTTTCCGTCGACAACCACTCTCTGCTCACGAGCAAGTTTTTCAATTTATATTTTACCCTTAAAAGTAAGACGCGTCTTTACCTCGCCCCTATAAAAATGGCCCTAGTATGACTAGAGAATTTCGATCTTTTAATTTCTTATCTGAGGAAACTTAGCTTACCAAGGAGCGTTGTTCGCCAGACGATTTCCAAACCTAACAAGCCTGCTAACTCTGTGGGCAGATTCATCATCGGGCCGAGTCCTCTTCATGCTATACGTAAGCTTCCTGTAAAAACAACAGAAAACAACAGAAATTACGCAATAGAGAGATTTGACAACCACCACGACGTCGCAAGGTACCCAGGTCACCAGAGGTCTTCTTCTCGTGTGCGCTGGGTAGTTAGCCGTCGCCGTCGTAGTGACCGAAATCGGTAAACGCGCATGAAAAGTCTTCACGGCACAAGGAGAACGTCTATGAAAAATCAGTAGATAAATCAAACAAACAGCATCAAGCTCAGTTGTCTCAGCCTCACATACCTCTGGCTGACTCTAAGAGGCAGAAAACTTTGAAGCTCCCAGTCTTCATGAAGGGGAATATCTATTACATAAAATTGTCGGTGATCAGATCAATAAAGACACTAAGTTCTTTAACACCCTAAAATAATGAAGATGCGAAGTTATTGTTACTTAAGTTAATTAAGTCTAACGTAGCCGGGAAAATCATGAATCGGATTTGAGGCTTGACCCTAACCCTAACCTTTAACCATGACGAAAATAGAGCTTGTTTAACCACTTGCAAACAAGAAAACACAAAAAATCTTCCTCTTTTAAAAAAGAAAAAGAACTCAAAACTACCCATGCAAAAGAAAACGAAACGATAGAGCTTCTTTCAGTTGAGAACGTCCCACTGTTCTTTGGAGCGTTTCGTGTTTACGATTTCGGTATAAAAAAATCTTCGATTAATTAAGCAGCCTATTGGGATTCAATTTTGAAAGTACAGTATTTCATATCTTAGCTTCCCCTATGATCAGTAACCAAGAGACCTTCGCAGTAAAAGCCTGCACTTTGGAGCACAAATTAAGAAACCGATTTTTCTTCGTTTGTTCAAGAAATTTCTATCGACTCCCATAGTATGTAATGAAATCGTTAAAGAATCATACTGGGAAGAGAACACGATGAGTAATACAGCAACAGCTAGTTCGAGTTAAGACAAAAGAGTTTCCTTTTTGTTTTTTTTGTTTTTTTAGTTCTTACCAGTTCTCTCAGGCAGAGGAGAATGCGTCACTTGAAGAAGATTCAGTAGAGCAGCAAAATTTTCCCAAATCCTAAGAAGTCAAATGATAAACCCGCTACTTTATTTTAATAATGCGGCTTTTAGTGAAATGATGAATATATGAATTTCATATATTTGAACTGCAGGATGAAGAAATAAATACAGAGACTGAAGCTCGTCATGGTTAAATACGCAACTTATGCTGTTGCAAAAAAAATAGTCTGTTAGCCTGTCGTGATCGTCTTTGCATTTACATATATTCACCATTTCGGCTTCATCTTTAACGGGTATATTGCGAACTAATTTAATGACCAGCAAACCGTTGGCTTCAGTACTAGTTCAATTGGTTAGAGCCCTGCACCGGTATAGCAGAAGTCTAAGTTCGAATCCCGTACAAGCCTGAGTTTTCAGGCTTTCTTTTCGCAACTGCATAAATTCTGTATTTAACTGTGACGATCTTCTCTGTATTCAAAGTGGCTTTTAGTGTAAGGATAGTAAAACAATACCTACACTTAAACACTAACAAGACCCTTCATTTTAATAGCGCTACACTTGACAAGTTTTCTTGCAATTTGTATTGGCCATTGCGAATAGGCCACTTGCACGATGGCGTCATTTTACTACTACAACCAGAATCCTTCAGGGTTTTGCTTTCTTGTGCAAATGAGGGCTTTTGTTATTTAATCCTCGCTGGGATTACCAAATTTAAAAATGAAAGGAAAAACGTAAGGGATTCTGGTCCTAGTAGTAACATGACGCCATTCTGCAAATGGCCTACTGCACTACGGGATCGTTTTGTGAGGCGAAATTTTACCCAGTCTCCTACGAGTCAAAAAATAGCTCTAATTAACTTACAGTACGGATCGAGAAAACGAGGTTAGTAAGATATTTATTATTTTCTCTGGATTTAATATTTCAACGAAAAGCGTTGAAATGTTCATTCTGTCACGAATTGAAATACACACAATATAAGGATCCGTACAGTGAAATACGACCCGCTAAACCGACCAATCACAGAGTGCATACTAACTGAGAGCTATAATAAATAAAAGAAACAAATAGCGTCCCCAAAACTGTCCCATAGTCAAAATCTTTCCCTTGAAAATGAGTTTTATTTGCATGAGAATAAAAAATTATTGCCATATCAATAGCTTGGCACTTATCCTCATTTTAAAACAGAGGCTTGGACGGTGCAACTCGCATATGGCCTATTTGACAAAAGTGTTAAACATCTAAGTTAAAAAAGATAAGTATGTAATAATCGCAGCGGAGCCCCATACCCATAGAGAATGGAACCTATTGACTATGACGTCAGTGTAAGAAAGCCCGCACGTATAGACTCTGGGAGTAGGAGTAAAAAAATCAGTAGGGTAGGGAAGGGAGTCCCAGACATGTACGTAGCGTTTAGTTTTTGGAGCAAAATTAACTATTCTATGGGTAACGGAGTTGCTCGAGAAAAAATTTAGATTTAAGCTTCTTGTGTTCGACTTACGGCGAAATTCTCAAATACATTTCTAAAGCTCTGCTTTTTGCCTGGTCCCGCTTTTGGTCACACTCCAGGAACAACCTAGTCTCCTCCCCTCCCCGCTTGGTTTTCAGTAATAAAATGTATATAAATAGACACTTCGCTTTTAGCCTTGGCTAAATCTGTATAACAGACGTACTCACTTTGTTCTTTTGAGAATGTCTCCATTCCAGATGTTTGGTGATGAACCGGCCATCCACTGACACAAGAGATTCACAGATGGGAGCACATCACAGCTTTCTGCCATAGATTGCTGTTGCTCAGTACTTGAAGCCGGTGGTCCAGTCTCACAAGCATACAACACAAGTGCATCGAATAACTCCACTTAAAGAAAAAGCCAAGATAGGGATATGTGAGCTGAAGTGCTTGGACTGCGAGTAATCTCCTTTTTCCTTCTCAAAATTTCCTGGGAAGCACGTGTGAAAGATACACGGGAGAGGCGAAGTTGTAAGCTGCGAAAAACAAGAGCCTAAGCCCCCGAAAATCTTTCCTTGTCTCGCCCCAATCCCATTTATTTTATACTTCGTTGTTTTGCAAACGTGCTCGCCGGAATAAGAGCTCGACTGATTTCAAGAGAGAAGGCCGACTGCAACACTCGGGAGGAAACAGCCTAGTTTGCCACTCCAATGGCCCAATAGGCAATTGTCTGGACACGTGCAGATATCAGTTAATATTAAGCCTCCAATTGATGTGTTTCTTTCCTTTCGTGAATTGCTCTAATTTTAACAACAACAACCCTCCTAACTTCCCTAGGAAACGGCACCGGCGCTTTAATATCTAGGGCAAATTTGAATATATTTATATAGATATTTGCGCCTTATAAGATTTTTTTTGCACACTCTTGCTCCCTATCACCTCAAGACGAAGGGCTCTGGTGGGAATTAACATTTTCCCGCATTTCTTGAAGCACTTTGAGTTCTGTTTACTTATCTGACATTAAAGTAGGGAGCTCAGGCGAAGATGTTTTTGAGCGATGCGCGTCAACTGGAAGTAGACTTTTTATGCCCAAATTTTCAGGCAAATCGTCCCTATGAGAACTTGAAGAGTAAAGACCCTTGATTATACACATTTGGTAACGTCAAGGCATATTAAAAGGGAAAAGGCCTCATGTATTTGCATAAGCTCCCTCTAGCAATGTCAAGTTTTCAACCCTTTTTAAAAAATCCATCAAACAAGAGCTCACCTGTAAACTCTAGAGTCAGCTGCCAGCATTCCTGCATTAAGATAAAAATAAGACACAAATTAAGAATTACACAAAGAAGACGTTGGCCAAACATTAGTCAGGCTGTCCAACCCAGGGAATAGTATCATTTTTTGTTTTTGTTTTTATCATATTTGCATGTACCTGTACTGCAACCGTTTGGGCAAGTTACTTTGCACCCATAGCAGTCCATACCCCAAACAACACATGAAAGGCTGAACATACTATGGGATGTGAACGGTCAGGTCCCCTTCGAATTGGATAGATAGTTCATTGGAGAAAAAAAAGAGTGGTCTTTTTGCCAAGAGCCGACTCCCCTGTTTCAGCACAACGTCACCAGCCAATGATACAGGTATCTTATCTGCGACAAGGTCTTAAAAGATAAACGAAAGTAAAGCACCTTATTTTACGTTGCTAACCGGTAAAAGTCAGCCTTTGGCTGACAAACCTGAGACGGACGCTGCGCTCATTCTACTCGCCCGTCCCCACTACCCCATCCTCTACATTAGTTCTCCGTTTTACAGGTATTTAAAACTACTCAAAGCTTCACGGAAAGGAAAGAAGTCGAAACAAGGCTTTGAGGTCACACCTGGGAATCAAACTCGAAACCTTCGAACAAAAGGCCGCCCACCAACCGCACAGTTGGTCAGTGCGCGGCCTTCGGTGCGAGAGGTCCCGAGTTCGATCCCCGGTGACATCATATCTTTGTTTCGAGTTCTCTCCTGTCTGTGTAACCTTAACTAGCATTAATACCCTTAAAAACGGAGCATTGATGGAGAGAGGGGGCTAAAATAGCGCACTGTCGACCTCAGGTTTATCAGTTGAATTGCAGTCGCGAGTTATCAACGTAAAATATCGTGGCTTTACCTTTTTACCAACTGCACCAATCCTTGCACCTTGATCAGATGCATGTGAACAGGATTATAGAATATCTTTCTCCCTTCGATCAGTGATAATTTACCTCTTCATCTTTGCCAATACAATCAAACTCCTCCAGATCATCCGCTGATCCACCTGTCCGTATGTTCCACAGAACAAACAGAGTAATGGCTACCAGTTTATTAAGCAACTGCGAAGTGAATTTGTTCTTCTTTAAAATTCCCTGTTAAAGCAGAAGTAAAATTAATATGAACAAATTAATCCAAACAAGTTCATTAATTTACCGATAGTAAAAAGATGTGGTTTCCTCATTCGGGCTGTGATCAAAAATTATCTAAGTTTACTGGTGACCAAAAAATACTCACTTTGAATGCAGCTATTATGCGGTCTTTAAGAGTTCTCGCTTGATCAAGATCTGTTTTAAAATAGTAAACAATTCAAACATTTCCATACATGTATTTATCAAAACAGAGTTGGGCAAAAATGAACATTATATGTTAAAAACTATGGGCACTTGCTTTCTTTACCTAATAGCCTTAAAAGGGGAAATTCAATTTGCGAGTGGGAAAGATCAAGCGGCTATATTGCCTGCGAGCAAGCTCTCCATTCAGAGGAGTCGCGAGAAGTCACGCGAGAGCAGCACGCGAAAGGAGACGCGTTTTCTCGCGACACGCTTTGCTCATAAAAGGAGAGCTTGCTAGCAGGCTAGCGGCTACAATACAAGTGACCTCTTATTTTCCTCTGAGTTCGAAGTGAGAGTGACATACGCGAGCGTGCATGAAAACCACCATCCGGACCGCGTTAGAGTAGCGGCGTCAAGCAGAGGGAATTGGATAAAATGAGAGAGACTATTTCTCTCTTTCCTCTGCGTGGCCCCTCTCTTCGAGCCCTTTTTTCGCTCGCCCTATTACCACCGAGAGGAAATCAAGGGACCACTGGTAGGCCACGAAGCCACGAGCCATAAGCCTTTTTGTACTAAATTGTATATTTGTCCAAAATATATGCTTATTGATGCAGAAGTTTAAAAAAAGCACTGCTCGCATGCAGCCTAAATATTTAAGAGCACTGTGATCTTAACACCCTCCCTTCAGCTTAAGCCGTTTACTTTCTCCCTTGAATAGATCTATAAAACACCACAATTTCGATTTTCAGCTGAGGCAGGTATGAGTCGACAGCTGATAAAATGTTTAATTCTCAAGACATTCCTTCCAGTATACTAAAATAACTTAATAAATACCTTGGACGAGATACACATGACCATGGAACTGAAGAAAAATGTGGCCAAACTCTGCCATGGATATTTCTAAAGCTGTGTCCCTGGAATAAAAAAAAGGAACATTTTTCGGTCAATAACTTCTGCTGTTTTTAAGTTGAGGTATTATCAACATCATCGAAATGAAGAAAAAAGAGCAAATACGATCAAACTTGTTCGTAAGCAGCCGACTTAGGTCTTCTCCGCACTAGCCCATTTTCGTTTGAAAACGCCGCATACATTTTGATGCGTTTCTGCCTTCCGTCCACACTAATACGCTGAGCTCTTGAAAGTGGATCAAAACAAAAACGCATACATATCTTATTCAAGTGCGGACGGTAGAAAACGCATCAAAATGAAAGTAATGGCCGTTTTCACACTAACATCGTCGGAAAAACAGATGGATAAAGTCAGGCGGATTGTCCATCCAAAATTAAGACCGTTCCATTTTCAACTTAAGACGTTTTATCTCTCTGACGTGAATTATTCAACGGATAACTCTAGCGTCTCTGGTGTGAATACGGCCATTGACCGAAAATATCGTAGGCGCGTGTGTTTGTAAAAATTAACATGCTTCATACCTTGTATTATGTCTGGAAACAACTTTGGTGAGTGTTTTGTGGAGGTTGGTTGAAGCAGCTGGGAATGGATTTTTAACAGCAATGCTAATAAAACATGAAAAATAGTAAAAACAAAAACAAGAGGGAAAGCTCAATACAAAGTATAACTTACGCTTACAATTAACCCAGCCGCCCTTAGAAATTTTGTCGAAAAACACCCTTTTAAGCTAGTCGATCGTTTTCTGGTTAATACCCGTTAAAAAAGAACCAGCCCTGCCTAAATCGTTGTTCACAAGTCGGGCTCTAGGCTCTCTGTCTGTGACATGTCAAGCACTAATTTACAGCTTTCAAGGTTCGGGCATGTATAAAACGCAAAATTTCGAACTGCTCTCCTCCCCTCCTTTCACTTTTCTTCCCCCGATTTTTCGTACGCTAGGCATTTACTAAACTTCATTTCAGTGTAAAAGGTTTTCGTGCAAGAACAACATTTCCAATAGAATTTCCCTGGTCAACCTCACATACTTTGTCTTGCGTTTTTCTCCGGCCTAGCTCGGTCGGTGGTAGAACGCTTGACTGCAAAGCGATGTGCTTTGGATCCGGTTCCAGCGAACGCACAAATACTTAATCATCTTATTATGTCTGAAAAAAGAAGGTACTGCCTTTTCCTCGCGCACGGCTAGACCATCGTGTGACTTGGATGAACCTGTAAAATGGCGGTTCTGTCTCCAGTAAGAGACGTAGAAATAGGTGTGGCGAGCAAGGATGGTGCAGTGCTTAGAGTAAGCGCCTCCCACCAGTGTGGCCGAGTTCGAGTCCCGGGGTCGACGCCATATGCGGGATGAGTTTGTTGCTAGTCTTCGTGTGTAAGCAAGTTACAAGTTGTATTTTTTGCAATATTTTTTTGCAATTTACAGTGTCCTTAATTATTATTTTAACACACCTCCTGCAATAGTAGTACACTGTTGCCAACTCATCCCCTTTTCCACTTGCTAAAATTGCCAACTGGTTGTATGGCTGACCTGTTGTAAGGCAAAAAGCAATGTGTTTGTAATGATGACGCATCCATAGAACGTTTTATGGTAGCCTGAAAGAAAGCTCCCATTACAGAGGTATTGTGAGAAGTCACGCATAGGTGCAGAGACACTAGGGCTCTGCCGTTCGCTGGCATGTTCTCTCTTTGTTCGCTACTTGGAATGGAGAGCTTGCTCTAGGGCTAACTTTTTGGTTTTACCTCCCCTAACCTACCACTAATAAAATACACTTAACCAGTATTATAGTGGTACTATTCAAAACAATATCAGCGGAACACTCCCCTGATGTAAATCCTAGTGACTTTTTTTTGTGTGTACAGTAACAATGTATCAGTTCCCAATTAATAATAGAGGTGCCCACACCCATAATTGTTTCCTTAAATTAAGTATTTTTTACACTTTTAATGAGGGTATAACAAATCCGCTGAGGGTGTTGGGAGAATGCTTAAAAGACTCTTTTAAAATGATTGACAGGCTTCTGTCCATCTGTTACCCAACAATGCAAAAAAAATAAATTATGGCAGAACAACAACAAAAGGTTTGTTCTGTTGCTTAACAATGGTAACTTGAGATACTCAATAAAGTCGTTAATATACTATTGTCAGACCTCACATGGTCTTCTATGTGTCATGCATTTTTCATCGTAATTTCTTTGATATCAAGCTTAAGCAAGTCTATAAGAGCAACGGTCACCATAAACCAGTGTTGGCCAAAGAGAATAGAATATTTTTCCCTCATGCATTCATACCATTTGAAGGAACTAAAACAAGAGCATGATGGTAAAACACTTCAGCTTGGTCCTGGTCATCACAATACCGAGCTACAATAGAAAAAAGGTACAGAGTCATTGCTCTTTCTCATATTAACTCATTATAATCATCATCAGAGCCATCCTCATCATCATCATTATCACAATCATCACATTTATTAAGTCCCTAAAAGCTGTTTAAGGTGGTAAAATTGTTGTGAAAAAGAAAACGAAAAAAGTGCTTCACTTATGCAGTGTTTTGGTGGGGTATTACTAAACATTGTACACTTTTTAAAATCACTTACTAATGGTATTATTAATTCTGCCACCCCTCAGCTTTAGAAAAGCAAAACATAATTTGATTAAATATGATTTTTACAATTAGATTAACTGAAAGAAAGTGCACCTATTTCCCACTGCATAACAGTCTATATTGATAGCAAATAACTTAGACAAGTGTAGTGAGAGTTTACAAGGTTATCGGGGATAAGTTGTAGATAAAATCCATTCTCAGGTTAAACCACTATGTCCCTTGTCTCCTCTGAATAATCAGGGCCAGGAGACAAAAGAAATTCTGATTCAAACTTGGTTCAAAGCTAGATCAAACCTGGGAAAGGACATACGACGCATACTTCACTTAACTTGTGCCTGTGCAATATTATTGTATGTTCAATGGGTACCCAGTGAAAGTGTGTGCAGTGATCAGCTGACCATGTCATGATCCTGATTAAACTTCTCAGGTTCACAATTTTTACAGGGCTGTGCCACAAACAAATTCTGGTTATAATCATATTTTCAATTTGTAAACAATTATTGGATGAGAGTTTTGTGATATCTGCAATGACCAAGGGTGAGGTAAGTGTTATTAACCAAGGCTGTATGCCAAGTGTGATAACACCTACCAAGACATTGATTATTCCGGATACCACAAAACCAAATTTAATAATATTGTTTTATTATACATTGTTTCGAAGAAAATAACGACAAACATACCATCACATGGAACACAGTTTACAATATTTTCCATAAAGAATAGACATGTTTCTTGGAAATCATGAACAAATCATGTACAGACAACCTACAGATTAGTTAGTTACAGAATCTGCCAGCAGATTTATGTAGGTTGCATGATAGAATTTCCAAAAAAAACTGTATAGGCTCTTAGCCAATGAGAAGACAGATAGTGAGTACAATGTACAACAATAATACTATAAATAATAGTGTACACTTTATATTAGGCTTACCAATATCCCCCAGGTGCACCAGACAGTCTTGGCAGATGTAATAACAAGACTGAGTGTGTGGCCTCTTGGCTAGATTGGTGTTGCCATTAATTTCTAAATATAGAACAACATTACAGATTGCTATCGTAAGTTTTGCTTATTTACATGTACATTACAGTTATGTACAATTTTTGCAATGAGTGTAAACCTTTGCTACCTACACATAGAGTCAACTCCCTTTATAGTGGACACTGTAGGGGCCTTGAGTTAGTGTCCTCTTTAGCAAGAGTCCATGACAGAGGAAGTTTATTTCAGTCAAACATCCATAATTCATTTTCACCTGGGATTTAGCAGAACATTATAAGTTATCAGGGTTATACCCTTATAGTGGGGAGTCTGCAAGGCAAGAGTTGACTGCACACTGTAGGATGTCCCAAAAAATATTATATACACTTGTAACAGATGGTAAACAGTTATCAGTATGAGGTCTGCTACGTAGCTAGCTGTGATGTGTGACATGTTATTATGATCTACATAACACTGAGCATTCTGCTGTTAAATTCCTTGTATTGATACTGAATCAAGGTTTGCCTTCCATCTTTATTGAGTTAATTGCATTCTTTTTTGTGTGACAATTTATCATCACTGGGGTGGGGAGGGGTGTTACAGGGTTGTCACTAAGATATCAAGTTGCTGGGTAAATACAACAAGAAGGCGGGAATCAAACAGCTAGGAACTTCTTTTGGTTCTATTTTTCTTTTATTTTCCTTTGAAAGTAGCCAGGGAAGACGTTCATAGTAGCCGGGGGAAATCCCCGGCCACTGCCTCTTAATGACAACCCTGGGTTACTGTACAAAGGCTTTGTGAGGATAATTTTATGTGCTGGCTAAGCTAGCCTTCAAATTAACGTTTACACCACCAGGTACCAACCTCATGCGGGTTGTCAACTCATTTGTCATTCCATACATAAACAAATTACAATTTACAAAAAAACATATTACAATTTTTTCAAGATGTTCAAAAGGTGGATAATGCTATTAGCTGAATCACTATCCACTGGATAGTGCAACTGGTCTCCCTAACACTTATCTGCTGGATAGTGATTTATCCAGCAGATATCACTTTTGCTTTTGAACAACTCAGGCCTAGTGTATAGTCTAGGTAAAAGAAATTTAATATTTCATGCTTGAGTTAAAACTGTTTAGATTAGTCTTTTTGTACAGAATATCACCTACCTTCAAGAATGCCTAACTGTGAGGATCTCACATGACCAGGAATGTCTAGCCTGTATGTCAAACACAGCTCCTGCAAAAGCTAGTCAAGATAACAAAAATACTTTTACCTTCTAAAACCATGACAAAATGAATAAAAACTGAAACACATTCTATAAGTAAATATTTTAGGATTTAAACTGTGTTTGTTGTTTACAAAAATTAATGTGAATGAATATATTTTTCCAGTTATTTATTTGAAGGCCATACACTTGACCAGTCAAAATCACTGGCCAACTGAAATTTTGTCCAGACAAATGGTCATCTCAAAACCGGACAATGTCCATTGTCCAACCATTATTTTGAGACCAAAGAAGAAATATCTTGAAATGTTTGAACAATTTCTCTCAAGCAGTAACATAAGGAATATATGAAGAACAGTGTGAAGAACATGAATTTTGCTGTACTGGACCTTAAAGGATTAAATATACCCTTAAATTAGCACTTATTTGTCTTTGTCCAGATTATGCAATTTATAACATTTTAGGAGATTTTTCACTGATTATGCATTTAGATACAATGTGAAAAAAAAATGTGAAATCACACCATTGTGTAACATCAGAAGCCCTCAGTAAAGGTACGGTTATAAGGACAACTCCTCTTTGCATAAAATCTGCAGTACATGTTGTGCGTTTCAAGACCAAAGTAAACTTGCATTGCAGCAACTGACATAAATAATTCCCTGTATGGTGTGCCATTCACATAATTTTATCCATTCAAAAGTCAGTATTCACACAACTTACAAAAACTTGATTTGTTGCTAGACAAGTTTGAACATGGGTGTTGAAGAGCGCAACATAGTTTTGCAACTCGTTTTGCAGGTTGAAAGTTTTTCTTGCCTGTTTTACAGTAGCTTAAAGAGAAATAGAGCACATACCTGGATATAGAAGCCACTGGCAGCCTCAAGAAACAAGGTCAAAATGGCCTGGACTTCCCCCTTTTTTGAGCCCTACCGGACAAGTTATAATTATATTAAAGATGTAAAATTAATTCATTATTTATTAGTTTGCTGTATAACCCACCTTCTCAAACCCCATCTGGAACAAAGGATACAAATCAAACTAAGTAGCCAATATTTCAATCATTTGGGCCTGAATAGAGCTTATCCACATGCAAATCTTATTACATTCAAGCAAACATTACAAATATCAAAACCCTTTTTTCTCTCAGAGTTGGTTAGGACTAAAAATGCACATAAGGCATAATTAAAACTGGGCCTGACTACCAGAATGGGCAAAATCTAACCATTACTCGCATAATTCATATCCCTCTTTGGAATTTACCAAGGGATTTTTGAGCATCCAAATTGTTTTACCATTTTATCAGGGGTGTATAGCAGAGTACAAGTAAAATTATGGTTTTTTTTACTGTTCACCTTTCGTTCTTTGGCCTGTTGTCTTAGAAAATCCACTTGGCTTTTGAAAGCACTATTCCACCTGAAAAAAAAGCACAGATAAAAAAGATTAATCCCCAATTGCAACATTTTCTTTGAATTCAGATTTAGGTTATCTACCAGTGGATAATATTGTTTAGATATGCAATCTGACAAACATTTATGGGGAAGGGGGGGGAGGGTCAACAATTTAATATTTTAAAAAAAGGTTTAAAGGTTGGGGTATTTTTTTAGTGGAATTAAAGGCAAGGATAAATTAAAGAGTCCAAGGATAAATAAATTACAATATATCCATTAAGCACTTAACTTTTGGAATATTATTTTAAAACAGTAATGAAAAAAACTCACAGGTCTTGTTCAACCTTCTGGTCCAATGCAGACTCTAGGTCTGTTAAAAGGATGCTCTTGTACAAGTCTTGTAATCTGAAATTTAAAAAAATTAATTCATCAAATGAATTTAAAAAAAAAAATTTTGGACAAGTAGCTTCAACATTTTGCTTGCCCTAGATACATGTATACTGGGGCATAGCTACATCCCTGGTATGCTGTAGTTTTGTACTTGTCTCAATGTATGATTTACTAGAGGATGACCTGGGTGGACCATTCCCCAGCAAGCCAATGAGTCTGAAAAGTAATCTGCGATCAGGGGTCCTTCTTCCCTTTTTGTTTGGGAGACGAGAGGAAAAGGACGCCCGATACATTTACTTTATGCGTTGCCTGCCCGTAGTCCCGAATCTGGACTTTTGTCTGATTGGTCGAAAAACTAAAGACCCTTCTGATCCACGTACTGATTGGCTACAAACAACACATCTGACTCCTGCTGCAATTAGATAGGTTTTGTCACCTTCATCTCTTCAAGACAGTTCTAAACTATGAGATGACGGAGGAATTTTTTTAACAGCAAGCTTTATAGCTTATGCTAAAAAATAAATGATATAATTTAAAAAATCAAGTCAACAAAGCACAGAGAAATGCCGCTCTCCTGGAAAATAAATAAATACATCTCGATTTGCTGCCTTCACAACTTCCTTTACAAACCGCTTGAATTTTGCAGTTAAATCTGACAAGATAACTCAAATGTTGACAGATACCTCAATTGGGGGGTGGCAGATGGCATGTGATGTATAAATGTATCAGGTGTTCTTTTTTCCCCTTTGCCAGTCAGCCAACTTTCGCGTATCCCAGACAACCAGACACCATTATTTTGGTCATACATTAAAAAATTGTTGTCAATTTAAAATGCTAGACTTACAAGTCTCTCAAAATTTAGTTAAACCTCTATTAATAAACACCTCTCTATGACATTCAAGACTTTTTTCTACTTGTAGATTCATTCAATATAATTTTAAAATCTCTAAAAATGCAGGCACGGCCACTTTACTCTGTCCCCATTTAAAGTAGCTTTGTGGATAGGTGCAATTGTACATGTTAAAGGCTTATGAAACCTTATCTTTTCCTTGTAAAATTTATGTTCTCATGTGGCATGTTTATCATCTGAAATTATTAATTTAATTGCAGGCAAAGATCCTCACCGGTTGCACCATGTTAAGGAAATTGGTCAGATTTTCCCTCATAAATATATTAATTTTTATTAGAAAAAAAAGGGTCTCTGGAAAATGGTTTGGACAAATGTGTCTTTTTTCTATTTTCCAGGCATTAGGCACACTATGAGACTTTCATCTGGAAAATCACTTTCAAAGCTTCATTGGAAGAGAATCCAACTGGCCAATATCCTGTCTGAATGACTCAGAGACCCAGGAAAGGGGTGCTTTAGGAGTTAAAATCCAAAAAATTTCCCAATGGAGCATGCCCCTGGATCCCCGTATAGGCCTGCGTCTTTGGCGCTCATTAAGGAAATTGGTCCGTCTCAGTATTTATCCTACATTCGCACCTGTATTGCTCACACTCCTTACAAAATATAGCTGATTCAATAAAGGTTGCTTTTATAGCCTTTGGGAATTAGCAATTGGCCATTGGCAGTGTTCTCCCAAGGATCTTGGGAAGGCCATGCAGCATTCTGACAAAATCCTAATCTATTCAAAATCTTGTTGCTCAGTCTATTCCGCAGTCATTTTTGGACAACCTTCCACGCACATGGGAATTTAGTTTAGTATTTCATGTAATATCCCTTAAAGTGTCCTTGAATTTATGGCTAACCGTGCCGTTGAACGAAAAAAGCGGACAATATTGCGACAGATTTCATGGAAGGGTAAATGAGCTAATACCTTATCAACTGCGAGAAAAAACAATGAAAAAACACTAGGCAATGTTCCAATATCTGTATTGAGTGTTTTTTTCTTTACTTATGGACAGGATCCCAGTTCCACACGTTTAACTGCATAAGGTTTCTTCAGTTTTAAGCCAGGCGGCCTGCCTGACCTGAAATAACTGGGGAGAACACTGATTGGGCATTTGTACATACGGAACTCAATGCAAATGATTTGCTTGAGCGACTAGTAAACAATAGCTTTCCAATGCAATTCCAATAAAATTCCCAATGCCTGAAGTTTCCTTTATTAAATAAGGTATACATTGTACACCAATGATTGTGTTGTTATCCGACAAAAAATTTAATAGCTCTCACCTTTGTCTCGATTGCCATCCTTCACTACCAACAGTGAAATCATTAACATTACCTAGGAGGAATATTAAAGACAACAGAGTGATTTTAATAAACTTGGCCACCCACTTATTGACATTTTGATCAATAAACTTTTCGTAAAATCAGGCACATAAGACAAAACCATACCGAGAACAAAAAAAAGGAAAAAAAACTGTGCTAAATTCCAAACTAAAGCACCTAAAAGCTCAAAAGTCTACTTTATCGAGGAGGTTCGGGGTGACCCACACAGTAAAGTGGGAGATTGGTTCGGTATCCAGGATACTCCCAGAAAATCTGGCAAAGTTGGTCATGTATATGTATTCCTTGTTCTTAAAATGTGCCTGCAAAAGCTGGTTCCAGTATTCTGCACTTTGGTTACAGCTTTCACCAGGTATATCATGAACAAAATTTCCAGAGAATCAACAAATCCTTGATAAATCAGCCCCTGTTACTTTTTGAATCACAGTTTGTTAGGGATCCAAGGGTTATCAGGGTGGCAAAGTGGGGCATTTATCAAGCATAGGGGAAAAAATTAGCCATCACGCATCATGTCAATGAGGTGCACTTGCAGTGAGTTTACATGGCAATATCTCAACCCATTGAATGAGTCAGCTCTAATAAATTGTTTTCAGCATCCTTTTTGGGTAGGATCGCATGTTAACAATTAATTATTGGTTCTCTGAAATGCGGTGTTATTCAAACATTAACCATATTAACCAGTATTTACTGATCTGAGAACATAGGTCATAAATACGATTTTGACAAAAGATTAGAGGATGAGGAACAAGAAAAATGACCAGAAAATGATGTCATGAATATCTGTGTTAAATGTCTATGATTCTAGTTTTAAACGATATTCACGAAGCACGGATATCTAAAAGGAAAATCTCATGTCAAGTTGTGAAAATAGTAAATCACACACAACCCAGCTATGCCCAATCACACCTCACATGGCTAATCTCCACCCAATCACGCATCATGCTGATAATTTGGGACCCATCACGCATCACGGAAAACCCCAGTTACCCGTTGGTGTATCAGGTCGTTTCACCCAAAGGTCGGTTCACCTGATAGCAGTCCACCCAGACTAAGTGAATTCACCCGAAACATTCAATTGTCATTCTTTAAGCCTGAAAAAAGGGAATAACCATGGAAAGACAGTGACTGCATATGTGGAATCTAAGGGTAACTAAAATAACCTCTTGAAAGGTATGTTCACCATGTTGTAGAGTGTTGTATATCATAGGGTGAACAGACTGGTGTCCTGGCAACACCCTCGGGCGAATCGTCTTCAGGCGAAGCGACCACAACTCCCCCTACGCCACCCTGGGTTACGGGGGTTGAACTGATCCAGGTTTTATCAAGGCTGCGAAAACTGAAGATGTAGGAGAGTCAACATTTTGGAGGAAACTTGATCTGACACAAATTTATACCAAAGATTAACTGGAAGTAAAACTGATGTTATTTCTTTAGTTGCATTTTTGTATCACCAGGCCCTGGTTGTTAAAAAGTTGGATAGCACTATCCACTGTATAAATCGCTATCTGATGGATAAGTATTATGAAATCTAATTGCGTTATCCACTGGATAGTAATTTATCCAGTAGATAGCACTATCCACCTTTAGCACAACTGGGCCCAGGTCTATAATAGATAGTCACAGACAACAAATCAAACGGTTATCTCATCACTGAAGCTCGAAGATCTATCAGCCAGAAACATGGTTCAGAAGCGACTGAGTGTTTTGGTTTCCCGTTTATAGCAAAAGGGTGCACTTAAATGTCACATCCTATTTTTTGAAGGTGAGAAGTAGACGCATAGAAGCAAAATAAAGCAGATTATTAATATTAACCGGTTATACAAGATTGTAAGGTTAGCGCTGCATAAATTTACAGCGCCAAAGTTTAAGATCTTTTCAATGCCATCAAAAAACGGCTTCAACCAAAAGAAACAAGCAGTTGAGATACCGTGGCCTTATTTTCCGTTTCTTAAAAAAGGCAAAACAGAATATAACATACAAGAAACAATTTCAGCTTTTAAAGCTGAGACTAAGCTTAAATTTGTACTATTAACTTAAACAAACAACTCACTCTTTAAAGCGGCTTTCAACGTTTCTGCTTGCCTGTTGAATATATTTACAATAAGAAAAGGATCAAACATAAACAAAAATTCTTTGAAAATATAACTACTTCAATAATGCGAACGTAAAGTGAAAGATTTTTACCGTAAAACTTGCGGCACCGACCCAAGGATCGGCGCCATGTTAGTTCATCGTTCCGCTGTACAGAGTCATTTCACTGCGGGCACAATAACACCAAACACCTGTCACTTTCCCAGGCTGCAACAAACGCCTGGAGCTAGGCGTTGCTTAGAGCTTGGATGAATTTAGGGACGAGGGGGGCGGGGGTTTTCAGAAAAGTGTGGTGTATCAAAACTTGACCTCCCCCCCAAAATAATGACATATTGAAAATGTACACCCCCCCCCCCTTGTGCATGTCACCCTTGTCACATGCACAAGGTTTGCCGTCTTCTCTCCTCTCCAATCCTGTTGCGTCAGAAGTTCACTAATTTAAAGTCTTATTCACAGTCTTGTTCCAGAAGCTCTCTTTGCTTTGGGTTTTTGGGAAGGGTCCTGTGACAAGGATTTCTTGTTCAACAACGTTCAACCACTACCGTCCCACTGTCAAACCTTCCTACAAGTTGCCGCTACCCGTCGCCCGGTCAAGCCCTTGGGATATGTAGACACACTGAATTCTGCAAAACTGATCGTACTACGTGAAAATTAACTTACTATGCAAGACGTCAACACGAGACCGAAAGAACCAAAAACAGAGGTTTTTGGTTCTTTCGGTGTCGTGTTGATGTCTTGCATAGTTAATTTTCACGTAGTACGATCAGTTTTGCAGAATTCAGTGTGTCTACTCAGTATATTTTTGTTGCTCAGGTCTTTTGTAGATCCTAAGTTTTGCGGCATATTCGTTTGCGGTCCTTTGCAGTTTAAATGTCAATTTATTACTTGGGATTTGTGAATTTCACCAAAGTTATTTTCGACAAATTATTAACGCTTGAAACGAATCGGAAGTTGGTTTCTGAAGAGGTCTGCAAACTTTCATTCATTATTGTCAAGAGAGAATAAGGGGACATTATGCTCTCTTGGTGAGTCGCCATTACAATATTCCGCATTGTTTGCTTTAAGGCAGTCGCTTGTGGACATAATGACATTTTAAACAATCGATTTAAATGTGCGGACGCCCCAGGAATTAAACTTCCGTCTGGTCACAACCTCTAAAAAGTGAAATACCCTCGGCAGTATTTATAGCACTGATGCTAGGGGGGACGCGCAAATGACAGAAACAAACAATCTAAATCAAGCTTAACAGGGTTAAGAATCCAAACTGGCCGGAGGTAAACCAGCTGGCTATTTACAAGTGTGGCCGAGAATTTTGAACTCGGAACCACCGAGAACAAATCCAGCTAGCGATCAGAGCGGGACTTGAACTCGGGGCTTCCGAATTACAAGTCCAGGGGCCGGTTGCTCGAAGCCTGGGACCGGTTGCTCGAAGCCTGTTTAGCGCTAACCGTTGGTTAAGGGGTATCAAAATGTATAGGTGTCCATGGTATTTAACACTGGTTAGCACTAACCATGCTTCGAGCAACCCGGGCCTGGTTAGCGCTAACCGTTGGTTAAGAGGTATCAAAATGTATAGATTTCCATGGTATTTAACGCTGGTTAGCATTAACCATGTTTCGAGCAACCCGGGCCAGAGCTCTGACCACTTTGGAACGCTGCCTCGTAATATCCTGGCCAACGCCCTAAGATGCCCTCTCTGTTCTATTCTCTCCTGTCGCAGTCTAAACCTCCGTCGCAATCTTATCCTCAAAGTGGCCTCTATGGAGGGTTCCCTCGGTTTTTACTCAGGGATCTAACTTTTGGCAATAACAGGTAATGGCGTGAACACTCAATGGGCTGAAATGTTGATTTATTCAGTGCTTTATTTCAAATCACTAACGAAAACTTACAAAAATGAATAAATAGGCAGTATCCTTTTTTTAGCTATGTGAAATATTAAAATGAAATAAAATAAAATAAAATAAAAATTAGTCTTATTCTGTGAGACACAAAACCGGAAAGAAATGCCTTATTTCTGAGTAACCTTCGGAAGAGGATAAAGACAAGTCTTACCAAGAAATGCCTCAGTGGTCTTCCATGAAAAGAGGTATTTAACTTATCAAAGTTCAGGTTCCAACAAAGTGATATAAAGTGACTGAAAGTCCAATACATCGTTTTGAAGAAAAACGCCTTTTGGTGGGCAATAAAGTTTATAATCTCAGAAATTTTTAGTCTAATGAAACGAAAATTGTTGTATGAGTCTAAATTAGGGAGATTGAAATATTCAAATACAATACACACAAAATTATGATAATACATCGTTTGTCTTGTTCTGGTTAAGTCCTTATAAAAACTTAAAGAAAAAGCCCGCATGTAGAGGTAATATTACTTTAAAAATCTAGTTATGGCTAATTTCAGCTCCCGAGAGTGCAATGAACAACGCCGGCAATTGTTCGCCTTGTAAAGAGAATTTCCAAATCAGTAAAAGCTGAGACAGCAAATTAGCATGTATCATATGGAAGAGAAAAACGTTTTTCACTGCAATTTCCCAACGAAGAATACAAAATTCGGGTATAAAGAAATTATTAATGCGAAGACTCTCGTTGCAGAGCTTTAAACGTCTGCCTCGTAGCAAATGGAGGGAAATCAAGTGAAAAACAGCCAGTACGTATATAGGCATAATATACCCCAACAAAGATTTATAGGTTTGCTAGGAAAGTTGGAAACTGTAAAGGTGTTACGTGAAAGTGCCCGGTGTTAGGTGAATAATGATATAAACATTTCCAGCAATTACTGATTAAGGGCTGCTTACTTGAGAAAGATTCAGAGTTTTTTTTGTTCAAAAAAGACCATCCTGGCAAACTTACCCCCTTTCGTTGATTCTTTACATTTTTAACACAACAACTGATGAAATGATAATTAAAACAACAAATGTGAATCAAATTATCGATATTGAGAAAATTTAGAAAGCTTATTTAAATAGCAGCTAAAAGGTACGATAAAAAAAGTAATCTGTAAAAACGCATTGTTTTGTTGTCTGCAATATGCATTAAAGTCAGTTTGTTCATATACTTTGTATAGAAATGATCGAAAAGCAAAACGCTTTTTACTTAATATATAAATTTCCAAAACATTGAAATTCTATTATCTAAATAAACCCAGCCCGAAATAATAAAACAAACAAATTTTAGAAAAAAATCAATTAACACTCTCAAAGTTATGATAATTTGTTGCTTTTTGTTGCTTTCTTTTTTTCCTAGGTTTTGTCTTTTTATGGCTACGAATAACTGTGGATAATCACATCCAACGTGATTCAAATGTTACTTTCTAAAAACTCTGCTATACGAAGTTTTTTGCTCGAAACGTTTAACCTGAGGAACCGTTTACATGCTTTGATTCTCACGCGATTTGTTTTGCTGCACCGAGAGTTTTGCTCCGTATTTATATTGCGATCAAACAATGGACAAAGGAAGGAGATGTCGATTTCAGCGCCTTTTATCGCAACCAGGTTGCTGAAAATCTGGTGAATGATAAAAATTAACCCCAATTGAGCTTCACTACGGCGATTTTTGCATAAAATTACGCAATTCTGTCCCTCATATCTATCCATAAGAGATGTACGCATGCGTCTGGTCTAAAACACTTCTCAAAAATTCCACTTTACATAAAATGCAGAACTTAGTCTGGACCGAAGACGAATCTAAACTCTGGTTAATTCCGTCTGCGAAACAGCGCCGAGGCCTGTTCTGGGTCCCCCCTGTGTACCCGGATTTGAGTACGTGCCATGATTGGCCTGTTAAAAACGCCATTGTCCCTTTGCCAATCAGGATGAACGGAAATTCGAAACGCACTTCTGGTAATTCGTTGAATCCGTTGGAAGCTCAGAACAAGGATCTCGGCACTGCTTCGCGGACGATACTAACCGAGGGTAAATTACGTCTGCCACGCAGGCTAATCGCGCTAAAATTGCAACAAAATCGCCGCTCTTGTCGTGCGACAAAATCCGCAAAAAAATGGCAAGTGTAAACGGTTCTAAAGAGTCAAGAGTTGTGATTGATTATAGTTATCCTAGATTCGGTTCAACAGAAAGTTAACATGTTCATGTAGAAGTCCTTAACTCCTCGTCAGAACCACTTTCTCCAGTTCTGTCGTCATCATCGTCATCATCTTCGTCATCCTTCCTACCTTTGTTGTGTAAATTTTCAATGGCATTTGGGTCCTTACAGTCACAAGCTGACATGCAAAATGTCGGTACTCGCCGCACAATCCTGTTCCTTGTAGTAGAAGCACAGCAATCTCCGCCATCCCATCGGCAGTGCTTGTTATTGTTATCCTTGTCACACCACTCATCTTCAATGTAATCCACCTGACAACTAGGAATACACCTCAAACGAGTGGGATCTGGTTTCCACTGGGACTTCTTCGTGCATGTGATAATCGCGAGAGTCTTCTCCTCGTCTCCCTGTAACACATTTAATTAATCAATGAACTTGATTGGATGCAACAGTTAGATCCCTCTGAATACCTTGTTGGATGGTGTTGAATGCTATTGAATAGACTAAGAACAGTCTTCCTTTTTCCCTAGTCCGTCGAGCGAGACGGAAGAGGTGCCCTCGTTTCCTTCGTCTCTCGGCCTCGTCGCTCGACGCTCGACCCTAGCGCGCGAGAAAAAAGAGAGACTACTCGCAGCCTAGTTGTTGAATGATGTTTGATTAAGTTTAAAAATTTTATAGTTCTAATATGTGAAAGTACACTCACTGAGGTTTTTTTTGCTTGCTTGGCGCACTTGAAAAGCTGAGGGTGAGTGGAGGAGAGCGCTCAATTTCCTCATGTTTTCCCTTCCTCGCGTTTCCCCACGACACCCGCCACGAAGACTAGGGCTCATTTGAATGGGCTCACCATAAGACTTCGTCCACAGATTCAAAAGTAAGAGCCACTTTACAAAATTCCATCGTTCAATTTCAGGGTGAAACGGTTAATGAGTCTAAAAAAGTTTTTACGCCCGTTCGACAATGTCCAGCACCACTAAAAAGTGTTGGAAGACTCTAGACCAGCCAGGAGTGAACCCTTAGGATTCTTTTTACTGCGGACATGATTGAGTTTCCCACATCCACCCAAACGCCTCACCAGTTCTGATATTGTTTTCACGCCCGACTACATTATTTTATTAATTGTTTTAATCAGAATGACGAAGTTATATGTGAATGGACGAAGGGCACCTGGGTCGTAAACGTTTTTCTCGGGTGAGAATACAAGGGGGCCCAGAGAGGCCTGATTAGTAGAGCAATCAATGGTGTGGCTAAAAACCTTCCGCCGCGCGAAAGACTTGAGCGCTAGTCCAATAAGGCGAAGCGCGGGAAACAAACCATCACCACATCATTTAAAGCTGCAAGTTTACTGCGACAGAAAAACCGCGGGAAACGCTCGGCTCATGCTGTGTGTAACCATAATAACAACCCACCTCCTCAACGACGTCATGAGAGCTATCTTTGCATTGAACTTTACAAATCCCTCCAGGAAAGTGATCTTCACAGGTAATGATAACCCCTGGGGGAGGTACAGGAACGGGACAGGCTCCAGCTAAACGTGATTTACACCTCCTCATTGGCTCGCTCCAACGTCCCTTGTCCTCGCACTTCACAGTGTGGACCTGATAAAGAGAGGCAAATGATAAAGGGGAATATATTCATGTAAGAATTGTTTTGCGATTATATAATGTGTTGACACTAGGAAACAGCCTTGCATGTGTGCCACGAGGTTGGTGGTATTTTTCGGCTTAAATGATCTGGGACCGATTTGTAAGCCGATTCGGGCCTCCCTTTGTAGCTGAAAAGAACGAGCCTATAAGTTATAGCGTGTCAAGAGATGAACAGGTTAAATCGTAGAATATAGACCGGCCTTAAGGCAAAGAATAAGGCGAATATTGCCCTTGATGAGGTACATGTAGTTGTAAGCGCTATTACCCATTCCAACCTCTACTCATTACACGGTTAAAGTATAGTATTTTTTAAAGATCTAGACTTTTCTTCTCACTAAGAAACTTTTCATCGTATTTGTTATACCAAGCACTTTTTCCTATTATTATTTTTACTTGACCTTCCCTATTTTCTTTTCTTATCTTTCCCTTTAATTGCGCTTTGTACTATTATTGTATTACCATCCCACCTAGAAGAGCCATGGCAATTATGGGTAAGGTAATTTTCAAGGGTTGAAAATACTGTTGTTCTAGTTGACTTGGAATTTTGAGACTGGGACTTAAGAGTTGCCTCATACTAAGGACAATGTCTGATCAATGCAAGTTTAACGGTATTATTATACATTGAAACACTGCCTATCTTACCCATTGGCTAAGAGCCTATAGTTGAATTTGGAAATTAGTGCAACCTACAGATTAGTTACTTGCCAGCAGAAAACTGACTAATCTGTAGCTTGCGCGCGCAATGCATAATTTCCAAGAGCAATGTTAAACTGAGTTCTATGCGACAGCTTGTTTTTGCCGGGTTATATTCTTCAAAACAATGTATAATAAAACAGTTATTAGATTCGATTTTGTGATCATGATCCGGAATAATCAAGGTCTTGGTAAGTGTCATCAGCCTCGGCCACCTCGACCTTGATTATTCCGGATATCACAAAAACCTCATCCAATAACTGTGTAAAACATACAGGCCAAAAAAAATACAGAAACTCACCCCCTCTCCTGGGCAATGACTCGAACAAACGCTTCCTAGGGCATTTCCATTCGAACAGTTATACCACATAAGGAGGCTGGCAGAAATTTTCTCGCAGACGATCGGCTCGCACGAAGAATGAGTCCACTGACCACTTTTTGTACAACGCACCTTCAAGGCTCTTCGGGCCGGCCCGTCCCGATCCTTCGGGCGGTAGCCTGGTTTGCATCGGAATTTACAAGAGTAACCGGGTGAAATTCTTCCTTTACTGGTAAAGCAGCTGCTTCCTGTAAGCGGTTCACCGTGCTCTGGAATAACGGGTTTGGAACAAGTCATAACACAAAACGCTGTCTGCGCCGACCATTTGCCATCAGCCTCGCATGTTACGCTAGCTTCGTTCCCACTAAGTTTGGCCTGTAGCGAGCACTTGAAAGAGCACTTTTTACCGAATGTATGTCCGTCTGGGCAATCTGGAAATAAGAAAACAGTTATTAGTAACAAAATAGGAAAACGGTCAAAGATAGAAAGCCCTATTGAAGCAGTATACAACTGAACAACATCAGAACAAGATTCCCATGATCCCATGATGAAGGTAAATTGGACTTCTGCCCCGTCATGGTACCAGTTTTTCTTGTTTATATCTGAAATGACCAGCCCCACTCCTCAAAAGTCAAATGATCGTCCCCATCGCATAGGGACGGGATAAGCAACGCCTTTTGGGTTGTGCGTCCGCCATTTTGTCTTGACTCGCCACCAAAAACTTGACTGGTTCTGACACAGGCAGCCTTATATTGTCTGTTAGTGTAAAAGCAATGGAATTTTTTTGTCTATTTGTTGATTATACAAAGGCTATCAACTAGTTTGTCACTTAAAAACGAGAAGTAGACTTTTGCAAAGAATTCTGGGACTGTTACTAAAGACAGGGAAAAAAAATGGTCAATAACTGACCTGCGCGTCCCCATGAACGATACCAAAAACAATCGCGGGACACATTTCGACTCTAGTTCCCTTTTCGTATCTAATTTAAAAGTGGCGAATATATGCGCGAGCAATCAATCGGTCAATAGAGACCTTTAGATTCTAGGACGAGGACGACTACGATTACGAGATTTAATTTTAAGTTTCTTTTGCGTATTCTGAAATAATAGACATCCTGGACAGCTTCATTGTACATCTTTTTCACCAAAAAAAATTAGCGCCGTTATCGTGATTGAAGGAGGTTAAGCTTTCTCCCAACCGCTAACACGACATTCTCGCTAAAACTCGTAGTAGAATGACGACGACTATCACGTTTTCCCGCCAAAATGACGCTGGTTCACGCGTGCGCACTACTTAGTATTGAGAAAATCTCGTACTTGTAGTCGTACTCGTCTTAGAAGGTCTCTATTGTAAAATTTACAATCAGCAGTTCAGCTGTACTAACCAGCTTGGCCATTTGGAATCCTGGGAACACCGCAATTAATAGGAACACAACCTGAACTGATTCCTTGCCACTCTTTGTTCAAGCAAACCATCTTGAAGGGCTTTGACGGTCGGTATCCAGTCTTACAAGTAACAGAACACGTCTGCCCCTCTTTCGTTCCCTCGCATTTGACCGTCGCGTGTTTTAAAACCAGTTTGTGGCAAGATGGCCTCTCGCATAGGTAATTGTGGCAATGCTGAGTGCGCGGACTAAAAATTTCCTCCGGACCGCATTTGGACAGTTCAACAACATCGAAATTAGTTCTTGAACGCAGAGCTACGCCAGCTATGGCGATAAGGTGAGACTTGAAGCTAACGCGAACTTTGCGCACATAGAAAAATGGTTCTGTCATATCGTGATGGAATGGAATAACAGCCGGGTTAACCTTGCAAGAAAGTTTTGTTTCATCGCCTCCTGAAGAGTGGACACGTCCAGCATTGTCGATGAGCTCTACTTTTATAGTTCTGTCAAGACTATATTCAGTCTGTCCATCGGAACCGATATACAGGACAAGTGCAGCAGGTACAACAGAGCGATTGAATGTGACTTCCAACCAATAATTGCCATTCACAAATGATCTAGTGCAGGGACGCCATGCATAGGCATTATTAATAAACTTATCTCCCGACTGACATACCTGTGAAAGGATAATAAAAACATGCTATTAACAAGGGTCGGGAAGTTTTTTATTTAACTTGTTCTATATACACTGCTGCCCCTCATAACCCCCCCCCCCCCACCCCACCCCCCTTACAAGCCCCCCCCCCCCCAGTCATACGTCTATCTAGCTGTAAATAAAAAATACATCAGATTATAAGCTCCCCAGATATAAGCCTAATCATGTAGTGTAGCCATATGCGCAACTAAATCAATCGTAAACCAAGTTCCGGCAAAATATGCGAGCGCGCGTACTCTACTATCCCTGAAGAAAAAAAGGGAGTAATTGTAGACTAAAGCAAAGAAATATAGTTGGAAAATCTCGTGCATATAAAACATTCAACGATTCAATTTGACCTTGTGGGGAAATGACTCTCTGCCAGATTAGTCACCAAAATATGTCTTATACAAAAAGTGGACCGCTCCCCCCCCCCTCCCCCTTTCCTTTTGCTCTTTCGCTCTACCACCTCTCCATCATTTTGCCTGGAATCCTGTGGTTCTTGGATAGTCGTTTATTTAATATTACGAAGAAATAATCATGAAGGGGAAGTACGGTAACCTCGAATGGGCATAAGAATTCTCCACAGTCAAAATTGACTGTCCTTTGATGCTAGAGAGATTAAGATTGACGTTTACGCCAAACGGCAAACGTGAATTTGTGCCAGGTGATCAAGTTTTCCCCTTACCTGGTGTTTACTGTTTATTACTTCCACTCAAAAATAAGTCCTTTCACGCCAGTTTTATGCATAAGAATTGTTCTGGACATTTATCGGTTTATTTTCTATCCTGACAAATTCTTAACTTGAATCTGAGGTTTGCCGTTTGCTGTAAACGTAACAATTCAAGTTTACCCTCATTTGTAACTGCTCTGGAGAACTGTTCCCCCACTCTTAACACCAACCCGCCTCTCTCAAACCAAAACTACCTTGATAAATAAGCCATTTCCGAGTTGCCTGACGCCGCTGTTGCAAAGGGAACGAAAAGGATTTTTTACTCTCTTGCAAATAAAACTGAGTTTCAAAGGTTTTGAACTTAGCCTTGTTATGAAAGTAAGCGTTTTTGGAACTCGGACACGGCTTAATAATTCGAAGCGAAGCCATGAGGGGTATTCGCTACAGACATACACATTTCCCATAACGCGCCTAACTGCAACCTAAATTTTTTCATTAGCACTATCTTCAATTTCTCTTGGGACGACTATAATACCTAAGAGAAAATGAAAACAAAAAGGGTTATGAAAATTTTGCAGGGCAAACAAGCTGTACTGTGGGTAATGCGCGAGTGGCGAATGGTAAGATGGGAAAGATTAGGGTTGGGAATAGCTATCAACGTGTAAGGTAGTTGCGTTACCAGATCTAAGGGAGGAGGTCCAAGGGTCACGTTTTCTGGGCATGTTTCGTCTCGGTCGCGAGGGTTAACAGTAACGTTCACAGCCCACTGGTCTTCAAATCCCTCTGGCGTATAAAAACCACAGTCTTTGATGCTAGTTTTTCTTTCAAAGTCTTCGCAGATTCCATCTCCATCATGGCGATAACACAGACTTGGATGGCCTATGAAGCAATTGAAATCATCATTATTGTAGACTAAGTTAGCTTGAGATATATATTTAGACGTTGCCGAGAGGGCATGGAAACAATAACCCCCCCCCCCACCACCACCAAACTATAAATAAAGTTAAGCCGCAGAGGATATGATCCGCCAAGGATTTCATTCTCTCCGCATACTTATGATCCGAGCGTAATCTCTTCACAGACAGGGAGACCTCTTGCTTCCTTTGGTTTTCCAATCCCCATTCTTAATTAGTAAATACCAAGCCTTCTTTCCCTCACCCCACCTCCCCCTTCAAAAATATTTTGCTCAATACAACTCATGTGAGATTGCTTTGTGCTTTTTATGGGAGGGGAGAAGGGGATGTGCACTTGAGAAGGGCCAGCTAAGTCTAACTTTTACCTACCCTATAATACAATAATTTTGAAAAAAAAAAAAGATTTTAAGTGAGATATATGATCATCAAAAGTAAATCCCATTACACAGCTAAGAAGGAAGAATTTATTCGCAAATTTTATACTGTCTGTCTTTTTCGTTTAAAATAGCATCAGATGAAAGTTGGCAAAACTACTAAAATATATTTGTTCTTCAGTGGAGTTCATCTTATCCACGACCTCTCAGGGTTAAGTGAATGAGATTAACTTTTCATCGGATTATCGAACTTAGGATTCTGCACGAATTTTGTACGTGTTGGCGCGTGTGCAATAACAAAATAATCCGATAGATCAGCTAACCTTGCTTTTGAGGCAAAGGGAAATTCCCGACGAAAGATCAGACTTGAACAAAACCACTTAGGCGGCAAATCCTTTAAAAAAAAATGTATTCTCGATGTTGCAGGGCTTTTGTTCAAATTCGCATGCCAATTTTTGTTTTCAGGAAAATTAACTGCCTTGAAACAGTTGAAAACAGTATGATCAGATACGAAAGTTGTTTGGATAACTTGTGTATTTACCCCACAGAGAGCTTCTTTCATTACCTAGTCAACCAATATTTGGTATGTTTAATCCAATTACTACGATTGGTCGATCAATTGTTTCCCCGTTAACCTTCAGCAGAAATTTTGTGCAACTTTACCATATTATTTTCTGCGGCGCTGGCCTTGTTTTCTCAGTTTTCCTTAAGTGATTTTGGACCACACGCATTTACCACGTGAGTCCGTCATGTTTTTACAAAGTCAATAGCGTATAAACAGAGGCACGCGTCAAGTTTCGACCGTGAAAGATGTTCAGGCATAAGAAGCTGCTTCCAAGAAGTTGAAATAGCGATTAAGGCATTTATTTAGCAGTTATTTTTTGAACTGGGGTGCTTCATCAACTGATTGTTAGCATCTAAATCATGTTAACATCTCATCAGTCCCCTTCCTAATTTTTTTTGCTTTGTAGACTGCGCATGGAAAGGTCGGAAAAGGGGGAATCGTGACGGCATCATACACAAAGCCCCTAGAGAAAAAGAAGACACTTGTCTTCTGAGGTATCTCAGAAGGATGAGGATAGTTAGTAGAGAAGTTCCTCTATATTTGAAGTCTGCACTTCTGGACTGAGGCACAGAGTTTTTAAATGTGCTGTCCTACAAACTCTTTACTTCCAAAACTTTCCATGTAATGTTTACAACTACAAATAATGATTGTTTGAGCTCCAAAAACTGAAGAGGGGTGGGGGGGTGGGGGGGTGCAGAAGATATACATTTCTCTTTTTTAATTTGAGAACATTAAAATGAAACTTTTTGGCATTCCTTTCGCATAGGATTTTTTGTACTTTTTCGTAGTTTTACGAAATGGTATCGATTCCATGAATTTTGTAGAGCCCTTTTGCACGTTTGTCACTGAGTTTGTTCGTAGCCTTCACCCTGGTGAGTTATGGGGCATCAAAACTTATCAGGGTAAAAACCACAAACTCTTGTCCAAATTTGCCCTCTTTGAACAAATTTGTATTCGACCAGATTGCTTAGGCATTCCATTATTACGATGACAGTCAAAGAGCTGAACAATCAAACCCAACAAAAAAGGTGGTTAGGTAATTGAGCAGGAGTGACAACCTCGTTTACGGGGAAGGAAAAAAAGGAAGAAAAAGGTTAATAGAAATGATAATGATGATGGTAATAATAATAATAATAATAATAATAATAATAATAATAATAAATAGTATGCTTACAAGACGCAAAAAATCACGTGCACATGATCTAATGCGCTTTACAGCAAAAGCAAATTAAATATAAAAGGTACAATGATTTTTTAATGTGGATTTATAGCCTTTTTTACCTGTACAATGAAAAACATCTTCTTTCTTGCACTGCACGTTACAGCCGTCAGCATCTCTCACATTTCCATCATCGCATTCTTCTCCTATACTTTCCTCTACTACACCATCGCCACAAAAGCCCTGCTCAGGTGAATACACTAAGGGTGGAGAGAATGGGCCCTCGAGTCCAAAACTAGTGACAGCCTTGACTTTGTAGGTGTAAGACTTGCCAGGGATCAAGTGCCTGTAGCGACAGTATAAGGTGACACTCAAACGAATAGAACAAGATGCACGTATATAACCGATTCAACAAAGGTCGCTTTGGGCATTGGGCAATTGCGCACAAGGAAGCTATTGTTTAGTCGCCCACTCAAGCAAATCGTTGCATTGTTCCATATGCCAAACTGTCGATGACCAATTGCCAAAGCAACCTTAATTGAGTTAGGTGTATACACTACGAGTAACCTTCATGATCTTTTGGGCTAGTAAAACGAGCGATGACGCGTGCACGCGTGGAGGGAGACTTGGAGTGGAGTGGAGGGAGACTTGGTGGCAGTTTCCAAGCGCGGCTACCTATTTCGCTTGCTCTACTTTTCACTTATCCTGCGAAAACAGCCGTCTCTACTCGTCCCTAGCGGCTAGGAGCTATTTAACAATTATCCCTTGAGCCCGAATGAGTTCTGAGTCAATAGTTCATGAGGCCGAAGGCCAAATGGGCTATCGAATCAGAGGCCATGAGGGCGAGAGGAATTATTGTTTTAGTAAAATCCAACTAGTTGGTCAAAATATCGAGCCAAAACAACTTTAGCTAGTTAAAGCTAGACTTTAAGTTTTTTCGCCGCCAAAAAGCCGGCGCTTTGCGCTACTAGTGGGCTATAACATATAGCCTAGTAGTAGCTCAACCAATCAGAATGCAGCATTGATAATAGACCACTAGCTGGATTTTACTAAACTACTATATACTATACTATACTATACACTACCCTTGACAAAAATATGGTTGGCTACTCCAAGGAGTAAAATATAGCGAGATCATCAGCACCTCGTCTTTTGTTATTGCTCTTCAGAATGCGTTTTTGCCACCTTGTTAAGAAGTGGGGTGGTAGTTAGGAGTAAAAATAAAAACAATGAGAAATGACTCTTACCTATCTTCAAACCTTGTTGCTTTTACGCGCTGTGCGCGTCCAAACGGAAAAGGTGGTTGCCTAGAGACCAGATACTCCATTGGTTCACACTCACGACAGTTTGGATGATTGACAGATGACGTCAGTTGAATGGCATCAATCACAGTCATTTCTTTGACATGGACACGAATCTTCGAGACGTTTTTATTGACTTTTAAAGACATAGTCAGCGGAGAATCGCACTGAGCCGTGGCATTGCCTAACGACTTCTCAGTACCATCAACAAAGATTAGGGTGATATCATTGATTCCTTCTTTTGAATTCCAAACAACCCAAAGGGACAAACTAGTCGGAATAACGGCTTCCTTGAATCCAAACACAATATGACCACCCCCATAATGATCAACGGGACTCCATCCGTGTGGGGATAAATTGCAAGACTTGGAGTCAGGAGCTCCCGTTGCCTGATGAGGGGACCAATAACCATTCGGCTTGGAAGGAACCGAAGACGTCGCAGTCTCAGCATACTGTTGAAACACTTTGTCTTCACGGCACTCGTGACAACTGTTCAGTGCGTTCGCTCCTCCTGTCCCCAAAGGTGGAATCCATGTGAGAGTTACTTTATCTTCCGCTTTAGAAGTCACGCGCGGTGGAAGTGGGATGAAAGAAGGCGGGGTTTTTTCTTGTTGCCACGACTGGTAGACCAGATCAATGTAACAGTGCATTCTGGCTGCTTGTTGCTCAGTGAAGGAGTCAAGACATGAATCATTAGCGTAACTCATGTAGTTGCTAAAAGGCGTGTTCCTGAATTTTTTCACTCCGCAGACCATGCTGTCTTTGCCCACAGGATCACTACACAAGTTATTCGCAGGTGTTGGATTTGTATCCGAGCACAGGTCCCCCAACTCAAGAGAAGGGAAGAACTCAGCACATTCATCGCCACAGTCCTTTATTTCTGAAACTCCGTGGTGTACGTGCCACAGGCCAAGTACATGACCGAACTCGTGAACAAGGGCATTTGTATGGTGTTTTTGTCCGAAGTTCTTCGGTAGCATAATAACACCACCGTAAATGCTATGAGCAGATTTATCCCAAGGGAAAGTGGCAACTCCCTGTAAGTTCTCATTACTCCAGCCAACCAAATAGACATTCAAAAAATGCCGATTGTCCAAATTTAGAAGGGATTTGTATTCCCTGTCACTCATGTACGCCCTGTTCGGTGACGTAGGGTCGAAGCATGTTTGGTACACGTCAGTTATGCTGACGTTGCAACACTCACCAGCGTCCCACCCGTTGTAAAACTTGTTGCATTCTGGGTCACACTTGCCATTTCCACGCTTTTCCGGATCACAAATAACTTGGGTCTGATCGCAGTCCCCTCCATCATTTCCTGTGATATTGTGCATGCAGTTGTCAGAATTGCAGATCAAGTCGCCGATTTTTTCTGGTTCGCAATGCCAAATGACCGTGCGACGTCGCAAGGACGTGTTTCGAATTTCATGCTCTTGGAGCTGGAAGGAGATGTTGTAGGGTGCGAAGGCTTTGTTCAGCTGAACGTGTTGAAATTTAATTTGTTTTTTGGTTACCATCGGGTTAGAGCCATCATCCTCCAAGATGTTAACAACACGATATCTCACGATCTTTTTGCCTCGCAAGTGGGTATTTTTGACATAACTCCTGATAATCTCAGGATTATCGCACACTGTAGTACCACACGGGGGCTTCACGATCGCCAAATCGTGAGGATCGGCCGGTATTGTTGACTCTATGACTTCCGGTGGATTTGCAGAGCTTGGGACGATTGTCCATGTGGTCTTGGGATTGCGATTTAGTTCCTCCTTATCTGCAAAGCTTTCATACATCACTAGGAATTGTTCAACATCACGAACGGGGGTAAAAACATTGGTGCTGATTTCTTTGTGGGATTTCGCAATTGACCAGAATCGTACTTCGTCTATTGTCCCACGAAAGAACGTAGCTGAAGAGACGTTGCCCCCAGCTTCTAAATGCTCACAGCCGTCAAAGCCTTTTGCAAAGATGTGGCCTTTCTGCTCTGATGAAACCGCTACTTTAGCTTGATTGATGTATAATATCATTCTTTTTCCATCGTAAGTTGCTGCTACATGAAGCCAAGTGTTTGGCTCCACGCTGAGAGGAGATATCAGCTTCGTGTCGCTATGCGATCGCTGCGAGCGAAGTCGAAAGAAAACTCTCAAACTTCTTCCCTCTGCGCTGGCTTCGTCAAGTCCTACTTCCCAGCCTCCATCTTTCGATTCCGATGAGCAGTCGTCAAAGAGCCCAATCACTGTAACCGGCGATCTCTGACCGCCCTCGGGCTTCATCCAAAACTCCAAGGTGAATTGGTGTGATGGAATTTTGTAAGGGCCGGCAAATCTGACGACATCGCTGCCTAAGAATCGTAGCGCCTTGCCAAATTTAGAGCCCGTTGGTGGGGAGAACGGAAAGCGACCATGATCGTAGCGTTTTACACGCCGCGTCGAAGCGCAGCTCGATATGTGTTGGTCTTCTTCTAACTCTGCAGCCCTTACAGCGTTTTCAAACTCTGCGTTCCCTGAGGTCACTTCCACACGCAAAAGCAAAGAAAGAAGCACAACCAGTAACAGCGGGTGAATCTTTTTTTCGAGAAGGTCCATTTTGAACCTCAATGTTCGCCGCAAGAAACGGGCCATGTTCTCGTTGTACTTCTCTGTTTGTGCAGAAACCGCGATAAAATAAACTTTGAAGATTAAAAAGCGACCTTTCCTGTTTCGTAGTTTGTGTAAAGTAAACAGCTGTGAAGATTTGACCCTGTTGATTGTAAAATTAAACCATTTGTCAGATCATATCACAAGTTAGCGCACTGTGATAAACTACAATGGCCTTTTTCGCGTACAAAATAGACTCAAAGTATCTGAGGTGTAAAAGTCTACACCTGAACAAAAATGAAGATGAATTTCTGCTGAAACATCAACATTATAAATAGTTTCTGATTTCTCCGTCTTAAAAATAAGCAATTTAGGAAATCTAGCCCCATGATTGACATTCAACTGATAGCTGAAACCCCATGGAAAACGCCGGAAATCTATCACGTACTTCTTCTTTTTTTGAGGTTAAGGTTCAAGTTATTGCTTGAAATTTTTTCGTTATCGTGAACACGACAACAATCCACAGATCTTGTCGACTATTTCCTTCGTCGAACTATTGGATTACGTAACTTTGGAAAATTGCAAAGCAAGCTGTAATTTTTCGAAAAAAAGTTTTAAAAAAAACTTCAATGAAGCGGAAACGAAGTAGCACATTAGTTTTTGTTTTCTGTTACCGAAAGCAGTGACAAATGAACATCGCTAGAAAACAAAGGCGCATTGTCCTTTTGTCTTTATAAATCTGTATACAATAGTCAAATATTGGGAGGAAATGCTACATGCTCGAACAAGTTTTCATTATTCTTTTTGAACAAAGAAAACAATCAAGCAAACAACAAGCAACAAAAAAAAATCGAAGTGTCGAAATATCTTCCTGTCAACGTGTACATTAAAAAAATGAGAAAATTGTAGCCTTGCCCCGGAAGAGTCCACCTGGAAAATGAATCATGGTATTTCGTGGGTGGTAAACTTAAGAGCTGCGGCTTTCACCGCTCATGTACGTTGGGTTTTGCGGTAGATTTTGCGGTATAAATGGGGTTCCGGGTTTAGAACAGTGAAAGGGCTCATTATACAGAATACTGCCGTATACTTTAAACAGTCCAATTAATTACAAGTTATTTGTTTTAAACCTTGAATCTCTTTCTTTCCGTCGGAATAAGAGTTTCTTTTTAAGTTTATCTAGTGTCCAAGAAGCCGGGGGGGGGGGGGGTTGGGGGGGGGGGTGGGGGGGGGGGGGGGGGGGAAAATTTTTAAAATAAAAGTTTGTATAAAAGTACGTATAATTTTTAAAATTTTTAAAAAAGTTGTGTGTGATGTCTTTGCGAGTTGTTTTTTTTTATTTGAGGTAGATTATGCGTGTTAAATGGGGTTTCGGGTTTATAAAAAGTAAAGGGTTTATTATACAGAATATTTCTGTATTTTTTAAACATTTCAATTAATTAAAAGTTATTTTTTTTAACTCTTGAATTTTTTTCTTTCCGGCGGGATAAGGGTTTGTTTTTAAGGTTAGCTAGGGTCCAAGGAGCCGGGGGGGGGGGATGGCAGGAGAGGCTGGAGTGGTTGGAGAGGAGTAAATTATTAAAATTAAAGTCTGTACTAAAGGTACATGTATGTTTTAAAATTTTAAACGAATGTGCGTATGATGCTCTCGAATGGATTTTATTTTTGGGAAAGAAGGACAGAAATATTTCTTCAGCAAGTAGCTTTTTAATGATAAGAAAATTTATATGAAAACGGATACAACGCTTTTGATATAAAGATATACAGAAATTCAGCCCAGTGTTCTTCTGAAGTGTTCTGTCAAGGAGGCGCTTTTTAAGAGTTTTTCTTTTTCATTTTCGATTTCAAACTTATTGTTCATGTTTTAACTACATTATGACATCCATTATCCTTCTCTCAATAAACTCTGGAAAACGTTTATAGAAGTTGTCACAAGGTCTCGTTTTGATTTTGTACGTATCAAAAAGACGTACCACCAAAAAAAAACTGTGTATGAGGTCGATCACGAGCTTGGGGGTGGGGAATTGTCTCTTATAACATAGCGCGCGTGCTTGCCCTACTGATTAAGTCCCGTTGAGCCACTATGAACAAAATCTTTATTTACGCACGCCCCTGAGTAAATAAAGATTTTTTTCATGATGACGTGTTCAGCTGTGTTTTTCGTCGCTTTTCCTAAGCGACCCAAAATCTACGGCAATGATGAAAAACCTTCAAAATTTTTTGGAATTTAGCTTCGTTCTAGCCACTCAAACCAAAAGCAAAAGCGATAAAGATGTTTAGCCAATAATAGAGCCTGAATGATTCGTTGAAAAGTCTGCCGTTAAGTCTGCCGTAAAGAGTGACTGAAAATATTCAATTTCTATAGAGTGTCCTCCGTTTTTAACGTTTGTTTATCCTTTACAAAACAAGTTAATTATAAAGGAAGCTCAATAGCGAAAAATTATGTACTTTTGTCAGTATCGCCGAACAATCCGACTAAAGCAGGAAAATTTCTCTTACAATAACAAGACAAATTATACAAGAAGACATAATTTATTACTCGCAAAAACGACTGCTGCCAGGTCTTCTCAAGAAGCCGTTATGAATCTAATATAATATAAAATGAATATAAGTTTAACGTAGGATGACAGTCGTCTTTGCTAAAAAACAAGTTTTCTGGATTTCGCCGAGCAAAACATAAACATGTTTTCAGTAAATCCAAACCATACTCCACGACTTCTTACGAACATGTGAATACTTTAACTTTTACCTTTCTTTCTCCTTAGTTTCCATTCGTTTAATCAGGCGAAAAAATAGGCAAATCTTCTTTCTCAGTTTTACAGAAAGAATCTTCATTCAAACTAGACGATTTTATACAATGATGTGAATGCAACGCACGTTGTGATTGGTCGTTAACATAATGATCTATCAGAGTTTAGTAAAATCCAACTAGTGGTCTATTATCAATGCTGCGTTCTGATTGGTTGAGCTACTACTAGGCTATATGTTATAGCCCACTAGTAGAGAAAAGCGCCGGCTTTTTTAGCGGCAAAAAAAGGATCAAAGTCTAGCTTGAAGTAGCTAAATTTTTTTTATTCTCGATATTTTTGACCAACTAGTTGGATTTTACTAAAACAATTATTCCTCTCGCCCTTATGGCCACTTAACAAATAGATTCCATATTGCCGTGGGTCTATTCAGTAACAGATCACAGACACACTCGCCTGCGGCTCGTGTGCCACTTCATTGTTTTTACCACATTTTGACGTCATCTGTGATCTATTACTGAACAGACGCACGGCAACATGGAATCTATTTGTAAAGTGGCGTGTTTGTAATCAGCTAATAGAAGCGTTTGTTATCGGGTCACGCGTTACGAGAATTTTGCAGCATTAAAATAAAAAGGCAAGCATTTTTGTTATAAAAAAATTTGCTCATGCTTTTAGCAGTGCGTATATCGAGCTATGGATGCAGTTAGGAAGTTTGGAGAGCACTCAAGAAGCTAGAGTTGCTCTCGGCTGCGCCTCGAGGAACTCTTTCGTATCTTTCGTGCTCTCCAAACTTTCTAGCCTGCGAAAACATCCGTTTCTCCTCGCTCTTCGCCGATGGGGATGTTTCGCGTTTCGTTTCCAAACGTCCCCATCGGCTACTAACTTTCCGCGTGTATCCATAACTCGATATACACACGCTAAGCATGAACAAATTCTTAATTTCTGCGTGCCCAGGGGCGGATAATTCCGGGGAAGGTACTTTAGGACGTCTTGAGTGGAGATGTGCCGCTGGAACCCTGGAACCCTTAGCCTATACCAGAGCTAGTGCAAGTGAATTTTGCTACCCTATACCAGGCTAAACTCCCCAAATCCCCCCTATCTTAGAGTAGCTGTTTTCCAGAAACAACTGAGGTCACTAGCACAGTCCAGCCAAAAAAAACCGATTTGATTATTTAATATTGTTGAGTGGCAATTCCCGGTTTCCCTAGTCTAGACTAAAATCTTCAGCCAATTCATCAGTTTAAATGGAAAATGATACCCTCTTCTAGACCGAAACTCTCTGATTTATATACCCTATCCCAGAGTAAACTGCTTGAAAGCCATACCCTCCGTGGGGGAGAAATGAATGCGTGACAAACGAACCCCAAAGGACGTCTGCGGGGAGGCTATACCCTTCACAGCGCACATTGTTTTTAGCCTATATATGGCAGTACCCCCCCTCCCCCCCCAGGAGAGTGTTAGACCGCCAAGAAAAAAAATGCCAATCCCTGGGGGTATTCCCGGGGGGGCATGGTTACAAGTCAACTGAATTGAACGTTGTCATCTGTCATCTGAGCGAAAGCTTCAGTAAGCTAAGCTGTTTCATTGTTTTCTATTGCATATGAACGGCCTTTGGTCTTTGGACACGAATTGAATATTCGATTGAATTTTAAATAAGATTTCGTGCAGTCATGACTGTAAACATGCATTACTTGTGTCACGCATTACTGTTTCAATGTATCTTTGCCGGCGAAATACAGCCGTCTCCTCGCTCCTCACAATTCGCAGGCTAATTGTATCTTAGCAAATGTGAATAAAGTCGTTGAATTAAATATGAGTCTTATTTACTTTGTTGTTCAATCCAGTTTTCATTATCAATCTGAAAACCAGCAATAGTGATATCCTTTTGCATAGGGCTTACAAAATTATGAAAGCGGTTTTTCGTCAGTCACATCTTCACCAGCATTTCCTAGCGAACGGCTACTGCTAGCTTTAATTTAAAAAAAAAACCTTGTGGTGACGGTTTTCCGCTATCATGGTCAATGGCCAACGTAGGTGATGCCCAAATGCGGAAGGTATTACCCCCTAAAAATCTCAATCGAGCCACGTTAAATGTTAAAAGTTGGTTTACATTACATTGCATCACACGGGGATGCCGTGAAGCCTAAGGCTTTAATTTTAGCGGCCTCTGAGATCTTACCTTGACTTTTCAGTTTGAAGAAGTGATTATCAGACGGCAAGCTGGTCAGGGATTTCAGTCGGAAAAAACTGGATTCCGAATCATAAGAGTAACTTTCGATCAAGGTGGTATGACTGCACGCTATATAAAGGCCGCTGGGGGGGGTCCACGATGACAACCCACGAAACGTCACTAATCACACGGATCACAGCCCTGTACTCCATGACGAAACACGACTATAAAATAACTAAATCTGACTTTCATCCTAGGCTGTCTAGACTAAGACAGCAGGACAGTAGTCGAATGCCAAGTTGCAATTAGGCATTTTCACGTCATAGTCGAGCAAGGACGGTAAAGAAATGTACAAAAAAGCGTGATGCACGTGCAAAGTTGTTGTTTTCCGCAACAAACCTATTGCTTTTTTGACGTCGTGGTTGCCGTCGCCGTCGTCGCTGAGTCTTTTGCGTAGAATATATAGCAGATGGGCCGGCATAAGCAGGAAAAACTGTAGCATTTACAAGAACATCGAAACTTCTTCTTTTCACTTCTTTTTTTAAAAAACTATACCCTGGGCAATTGAAACAATGGACTGAATATTTGCAGGGCACGAGTTCACTGTAAATTTACCTCATCACAGATAAGAGATTTTGAGTAATTACTATACTTAGTAGTAAGTAAGCTTTGCGGGAGGGACTGATGAATCTCGATTGCTGCACACTGAATTGAAAGGTATTTAACCAAAGAGTTTTCAGATGATGCCAATTATAATTCCAATTAAGGATTATAGGTCTGCCAACACCCCTTTCAGAGGATTACCACGGATTAACTCTCAGAAGAAAAACCTAGAATGCCATCGATAGATGAAAGTTTTTGTCTTCAAAAGATAAGGCTGCAATGAGCATTTTCTTATGTTCTAGCTTACATTTTCTGACGGAAGGATCAATACACAGTTAACATAGAAGTAAGAGTGATTTCCTGCGAGACTTCTTTTCTACTCAGCGGAGAAAATTTGGTCTATCAGTCAACCTTTTTGGATCTAAAACGTGATAAAAAACGTCAATCACCAAAAGATTATCTCCTGTCTTGAGTGCTTAATCGAAAGACAAGCAAATAAAAACAGGGACAAAATTTGTATTTCGGACGCAGAAATCCTTCCGTTAATAAAGCTGCCCTTCATAGGGTAAGCTCATCGAGTTATTTCAAGTCAGGGCGGGACGCCCTAAGGCAAACACGTAAGAGGTTTTAAGCGATGGTGTCATTTGGAGCTATTTCATGGCAGAAGAAACTGTTTAGTCAATGCTAAAAATGTTGAAGAGCATCTAATCCGGGCGAAAGAGACAAAAAAGGACACTTAGCTCCAAATCCCCAAAACGAATATTTCAGTACTGAAACCAGAGCATATTAGACTAATGGTTGACACAACCTACTAGAAGTAACGATTAGCTAAAGGAGATCACCAGTTTTATGAGCTTAGTCAGGCAACTTGTCTCGGTGCCAAATAGTTTGCGTAATTCTCATTCATCTTCTACGGCGATTTTTCCGTACCTTTTGTTTAATTTTTAGTTTTTTTTATGACATTTGATCTAGCCCTATCTAGTACGTGGCTTTAGATCGTACTGGTTTCTGCATGTTCCTGGTCAATCTCTCACGTTTAGTTCAGTCGGTATCTGGCAAAACTCTTGGCTTTTTTGTAAATTTGATGCTCAAATAACTGTCGTCAGTACTCAAAGTTATAATTTAATACTAGAGGAATAAAGATGAACTTCAAGTTTCCCGCTTTTTAATTGTTTCAAGAAGGCTGAGGGCTGTACTCGAGGCTCAAATAGATCAACAGTATCTTGGCTTGAAGTATTCAGATTACTCATTCTCTCTTGCTTACATAGAAATGTTGCTGCAAATTCCTCAATTCTTTCGCAGGCAGGCTCAGTAGCTTCAAACTAACAATGCAGAGGCATTATACGCAAACTTAATTTTTAAATAACTCAGTCTGTAAATAACAGAGACCTTAAGATTCGAGGACAAGGACGCCGGACTACGAGTACGAGGTTTGACTTCAAGTTTTTTCGCGTATTCTCAAAATTATAGACTCTCCGGAAGGCTTCATTTTACCATTTTTTACTAGAAAAGTTTTACTGTTATCTTTAGTGAAGGAGGTTACGCGCTCTCCCGATCGCGAAATGATAAAACCGCTAACATTTGATATCTTCACTTGTTTCCACCACTTCGACATTCTCGCGAAGACTCGTAGTACGGAATGACGACGGCTACCACATTTTCCCGCCAAAATGACGCTGGTTCACGCGCGAGCACTTCTTAGTATTGAGAAAGTCTCGTACTCGTAGTCGCACTCGTCTTAGAATCTAAAGGTCTCTAAATCTAGCTCTAACTAGGTGTTCAATCGAATTTAATTGTAGTCCATAAAGGCAAATGCGTTGGCTCGATTACTAGCTGGCTACGGTGCCAATAAATGGACTGAAAGACTCTCGGGTCTCAGTGTGTGTCATGATTGATTGACTGCAAGATTAAATGAACCCCACTTTTATTTTTATGAGGAAAAAAAATCTAAGGAAGTAAAAGAACTGGATTGTACTACCCAAGTAAGAAATTCGTGTAATAAACTAAACGTCCTACATATGATAAATATATCGCACCTAAAATTTTCCATACCTGTTGGCCAAGTTTCCTTTCTTGTATGAAAAGTTCCCATTAATAAACTAAGCTACAGATCTCTCCAATTTGGTCTGCCCTTATTCTCAGTTTCATTGAAAATGTAAGTCAAAGTTCTCCAGCGGTTATGTACGAGTATCAGTAGCCTATTTCCCATCTTTTTAAAACGCGGCTTAAAACCTTTTACGCATCAATGGAATTCCATAAAATGGTCCCGAATTTTGTAATGCCGGCTATATCTAGGCATTGAAACTGTTTCCAGTCGTCTGTCTGTTGCTACGGATGGCAAGAATGTCAAGAATGGACATGGATTGAAACTTGAAAATAGTTGAACCAAGTTGTAATTCTACGCCTGCTATAGAGCGTTTTCACTCACATGGCCAGCATCGATGCAAATTTATTGGAACAAAAGAAAGCGTTTGCATAAGAAAAGAATTCAACTCCCACTAGCCTCCCACGCAGACGTTCGTGAGGGTTCGTCACGCGTTGAACGTGGGGCAGGAACGCGTGACGAACCCCTAAGAACGTCTGCGTGGGAGGTTAAAGTCCCACAGGATTGCCTTGGTACACCAACATGGCCGCCGTTTCATTGTTTTGGAACACCAATATGGCCGTCGCGACGTCATGTGAAAACGCTCTATATTTGTGAACTGAGCCTAATGTTTACATTGGCAAGTAAATGCTGGAAAAGGACAAGATGGCAAATGGCGCCACAAGCCCCTTTAAGGAAGCCGGCAAACCACTACCGTCTTAGTCTCGGATGTCATTAGTCTGAGAGCAAGCTCTCTTTGGTTGTTCTTTCTCTTACCTCGGACGGTAGCCCAAGTTGAACCCTTAGTTTGTCGAGACCAAGGCTTGCTCGCACGTCTGATGTTATTTACGATCTGTTGGGATTGGAACTGAAATGAAGCCTACTTAAATTTATCATTTGCATGTAACAAATCATGACTGAAAAGGACTTCCTCTTGAGAGACTTCCTGAGTAAAAAACTATATCCGGAGATCAACAAATCTGAAACGAATTGTTGTGAAACGAAAAGGAAATGAAAACATTTGCAGTAATTAGTCCATATGCAAACCACCCTCCGGTACTGAAACCAACTAGAAATTTTAAAGTGGACTAAAAAGTTATAAGACTTGAGACAATAGAAACCGACAGAACCGATTGACGAGGCATTGTATTAAACCCCGTTAAAAAACATAAGTACCATGGGCGTATAGTTGTCTACGGCCTGTAGACGACATAGAGGGAAATTGGCTATAATCTCGTCCAGCGTTCGGTTGAGCTACAAAGAGTTGTGAAAAAAAAAGGTTATCCTCTACCTAACCAAACCTTTAAATTATTTTTAGCGTAAATATTGGATTGTAGAAGATAAAAGGAAAATCCCAGAAACGGAATGAATAAGGAGGCCAAACGATTAAAAGTTGCAACAAGGTACTTGGCGATCAAATAGAAACTTCATATGTTGGCACTCGTAGCACATAGGGGACCAAAAGTAAGACTCGTTGACCGTAAATTCAAGAATGATCGAGTCGGTTTTAGTGCCAGTGACACAAAATCACTGATATATCTATTATCTTAGCTCAGTTTCCGGCAGTTTTTTTTGTCGGTGGACTCTTTGAAAGTAGATAGCGAAATTTCAATTTTGTCAGGAAGAAACCGGGGGGAGACACAAAACGAAAGAGACTAGATTAGATTTTCTTTGTAAAATTGAAACAGCACTGATAAAACGTGAAATGGTTAATCTAGTTGATCGCTGGACCTAGAAAAAGCGCCACTGATGAGAGAAATGTTCCCTGTGGCCTCTGTTAGCAGGGAAAGAGAAATGACGCTTTTAAAACGTTCATCGTAGTTAACGCACATTTCTGAAGGTATTTCCGACCGGCAAAGTTTACGGAATTCTATCACAAGTCACAAGGCGAAAAGTAGCGACACAACTTTGAAAAATGTGGCTGAGTGAAAGCCAAACAACAAGCAAATGTAAATTAGAAGGCCTAGACCGAATAGTGAAATGAAAATTTGGAAAGTAACTAAATTAAAAAATTGATACTAACTTAGAAAGCAGAAATTTGAAATGGGTAAAATTACTGTACTTACTCGTAAATATAAAAGGGATCAGAACATGATGTTGCTGCCTTTGCAATTACATGGTCCACAGTTGATCGAAATAGAACTTTTTACAGTGGTTGAATGAATTCCATACGGGTCCATACTTGCCTTTGAAAAAGCGGTGACGGCTATGAAAACAATATCCCAATGTCCGGTCGGATTCCTAAACTGATCTTATATTTTCGACAAGAAGAAAGAAGAACGCTGACAAAACGGAAGAGTTAACGGGGAACTCGTGTAGCGAGGACATGGGTGCGGACTTCGTTCCATTCGGAGAGTACACCGACTATACGTATAGTCAAGACTCAAGAACCATGAGCTCTTGGTATAGTACCCGAACTTTTCTCTGAGGAAGTTCATAAAAAAGGTAGATAGAATTTTTGAAGGAATAAATCTATAAGCCCGTATTATTTACACTTATCTTCCGGGTAATAG